CTTTTCTTATGATGGTTTTTTTTCTTTTCACTGAGGAACCGCAGTATTTCGTCATGTTGTAACTTCGTTGCTACAGTTTTTTTTATTATATATATAATCAAGAAAACTGCAATAACACCAGTATCAAAATTTTAGCTTGGAATTCAAGAGAAACAATAACTTTATCCTATTGTTTTTTTTCAAGTGTGTTTATCAGTGAACCAACACATGAATTTTATAAAAAAGTTCTATTTATACGCATTGTTTACAGTTTTACGGGTAAAAAGGTCAAATCGATTGCGTTTTTTATTGTAGTTTGAACGCACTGGTTCAGATTAGACCGATGGAGATCGTTTTAATTAGAGATAATGTGAACGCTAACTGGTTTTATTTTGATCGATTCATATTAGATCGATTAAAAAAAATGCTAGTGTGAACGGGGTTTTAGAGTGCATGTGTCGACTAAAAAGGTCTTTTGACTTTATGTTTGTTATAACAAACTGAATATCTGACTTAAATATATAGTTGTCAAACCTTGCTCTCTGGCCCTTACTGAAGTTACATTTTTCATACTTTATCAGAAGACTAAACCAACATGCAGTCTTCCAGGAGGGATTGTGCCTGATATTCATATGATGAAGACATAATCTTTCAATCAGTTTAATTGAGGTCTGGAGCTGGCATGTCAGTAATTGCTAGTAGTCTGTTGTTATTTATGTATTATTGTCATTTTGTTTATTTTCTTTTGTTTCCTATTCTGACATCGGACTCGGACTTCTCTTAAACTGTGTTTTACTGTGCGTACTGTTGTACGTTTGTTTTTTCTACATTGGCTAGAGGTATAGGGGGAGGGTTGAGATCTCAAAAAACATGTTTAACCCCGCCGCATTTTTGCGCCTGTCACAATTCAGGAGCCTCTGGCCTTTGTTAGTCTTGTTTCATTTTTAATTTTAGTTTCTTGTGTATAATTTGGAGTTTAGTATGACGTCCATTATCACTGAACTAGTATATATATTTGTTTAGGGGCCAGCTGAAGGACGCCTCCGGGTGCGGGAGTTTCTCGCTGCATTGTAGACCCATTGGTGGCCTTCGGCTGTTGTCTGCTCTATGGTCGGGTTGTTGTCTCTTTGACACATTCCCCATTTCCATTCTCAATTTAATTCCTAACAACTGACTGGTATTTTCGGCGGTAGACAAGTAAATCAAGCAAAATAAAGGATATGGTGTACCAATTCATGTAAAAATTCACTATGTACACATAAAAAAATCAAAGAGACAGACCTTTTATTACTGTTATATATCTCAAGATAACAATGATGCCTTCAAAATGAAGCAAAAATGAATAGGGTAAATATTTGGTAATTAGTCGCCCCAAGTAATAAGTGGATATGGCGCACACTGTAATCAGAATTATATGTTTATAACATACAATTCATCAATTTCATACAAATACTCAGGGTATGATAATAAAGGTAATTTGATTGCCTGGGAAAAACGAAAGAATTTTTGAGCAAGTTAAAGCTGCAGTGCACTTGTCCGATGGGCAAGAAAAAATGATATTTGAAAATATGGAAATCTACAGATAAATGCTTTTATCAATAAATCATCATCTCAAATAGCCCTCAAAATGGTGTAAAATTTACTGATTTTTTAGCACGGGCGCTCGGTTCAGGATTTTAATACCGGTATCATTGTTGCTGTTCATAATTTCTCACCATCTATATAGTTTCTGCAAAAATGCCAAAAATGAGTAAAATAAGTCTTCTAGGGCAATTACTTCTAAAAGAGGTTAACTGACAATTCGTCCATGTCGACTCATTTGTAGATCTTATTGTTCTTTTCATTTTTACTGTTTAGAATTTCTCTCTATCTGTTATAGTTTTTCAAGATAATAACAAAAAAAACGGCGAAAATTGAAAAAAAATGATAATTCATGGGCAACAACTGTAAAACGGGTAGTTCGATTTTTCTGAACATTTCGCAGAAGATAGACCTTGACATGCAGGTCAATTCTACAACACAGATTTGCACTAACTGCTTTAGTTTTTGAGATATAAGCCACAAACATTTTGAAATTTACTAGAAATTGACATTTCAGGGACAATAACTCCAAAATGGGTTGTCCCACTTTCTGAAAATTTGGTAGTCGATAGACCTTGAGCTGCTGATCATTTTAACAATGTCAGATTAACTCTTACTGATTTAATTGATGAAATATAATCCAAAATCTGTATTTTACCCCCCAATGTTCTATTTTTAGCCATGGCAGCCATGTTTGTTGACTGACCAGAATAAACAACAAAATTTTATACTAAATACCCTAAGGATCATTCAGCCCATGTTTGGTTGAAAATGGTCCCGTAGTTTTAGAGGAGAAGATCTTTGAAAAAGTTTACACAGGACAACAGAAGGATGGACAGATGACGTATAAAGGACACAAAGGGATGGCAAAAGCTCACCTAGCCTTTAAAAAATAAATACACAATTTAATTAGCTCTCTCATGTGCTGTCACTTATTTATTTGGAAAGGATGTTTTTGTGGGTAAAAAATGTTGCCCTTTTATTCTTTATTCTTACACAATATTATGAATTTCAAAATAGAACAAGTATAGATCTCATATATTCAAAATGGCCGTGGCAGCTGTGGATACTTTTCAGTGGCATTTCAGAGAAATGAAAGCTTCAACACAATTAAAGGATTTTGTGTCTTTACTTGCAGTTTAGAAATTACTTAAACAAGTACAAAATGTGGAAAAGTGGTTTTCTCTTTCATGCCAGAAATATCATAGTCACTTGCCAAAAAGTTAATGTCAAAACCAGATACTATTTGCCATAACATACCATAGTCCTCAAAACCTGACCTGACCGCTGGACATGGAAATAATCAAGATAAAATTACAAAATCCTTCAAAGAAATCCATATATTAAGAAATATGTTGGACTGGCATGCATGCTAACTAAAGCAAAGACATACATTTGGTAACCTAGAACTTATTTGTGAACTATATATGCAAGACGAGGACAATTTCATAATTCATAGGTTAGACGGATACAAATATTTTAGAAGAAATCTGTGCTAAAATAATGGCCTATTGATTGGACATAGATACTAAAAAACAGTTTGTATACTAAAAACTGACCACTGGGGTGTGAAAATGGGACAAAAGACATATGAAATGTGTTACATCGATATACACTCCCAAATAAAAATCCATGTATCGAATTGCCACAGTGAACTAGAGTGGGAAACATCTTCGAGGAATTGTGTTTCTGGAGAATTACTGTCCCAACAATTACATGACATGTTACACAAAATCGTTTATTCCAATTAAGGAACATGAAAATACAGCATGATTAGATTTCTGTGGATGCTCCTGAGCTGTCAAATACATTTTTCATTAACATGCTTCGAAAATGTCAATTGAACGAAGTCTTAAAATGTATAGTAAACTATAAAAAAAACAAAAACTGTAAAATATAAACTGATAAAATATATATTTATTGTCATTTGTTTGCATTTATGTTTATGTTATAATTATAATTATAATTTATTTACATCAGTAATAAAAAAAATTGAATTACATTTTGTGATAACATGGTGTTAGTATGACATAACAACTACTCATTTGAAAGAACGATATCGCTAAAGTTCCCTTATAATTATTTACCATATATTCATACAAGTATAAAGGAGGAGTTGCTATAAGGGTCATATTTGACCAAAACAAGGCAGGTGTTCCAAATTTTGGGTAAAAAAAAACTAGTTGAAAATGGCCAAAACCTATGCATTTTTTCACTTAACATGTGGAGGGGTATTTTCATTGACTTCACAACTATATTTATTATGATTTGATGGATTGCGAACTAGTTGTTTTTGATTTAGTCTTATCTCATCTTTGAAATAGGCACAAATGGAAATATTGAATTAAAATATCAAATTTCAGAAAAAAAATAAGAAGAGTAAGATCCATATCTCACTTAACTCAATGCTATATTGAGTAATCTATGAACAGCAGAAAAATAGATTTTTCAAATCATTTCAATGGCTATGTATTGATATTTCTTTTCTTACTATCTTGTAGCTTTACTTTACATAACAATCAAATGCTTGTAATACTGCTAACTGATTAATTTTTACATTGTCTTTTATTCAATTAATCACAAATTCATGCTGTTTTGAATTTGAGATTCCTGACAGTATTAATTCATGTACATTATTTGTCTTATGAACCAATTTTAATGATTTTTTCGTTTTCACTCATACTATGAAAATTGCAAAAACAAAACGGTGTTAAAATTTCCTGTTTATAATTATTTTCAAGGATAACAGGAATTACTTACAGTCCACAGCAATTGAGTCCTCAAAGGAAATATGAACCATTAAAGATAAACAAGAACAAACAGCACTTGGTCCAGATAGTTTGTAAGACTCAGTACAGGAAAAAAAGTTGGCATTAAGCCAGTTTACCGTGGGCATAATCTGCCCCATCCCTGCTCATCTAACCATTGTCTTATTTGAACTCAATTGCATTTTAAAAAGTTGGTCTTATAGTTTCAGAGAAGATATCAGCAAATTGACATAAAAATTATCCTTATACCATGTATACCTTACACAACAAGTTGATAAAGGTAGAATGTGTTTTACCACTGTCAGTCTGCCTACTGAGCAATGAGTCAGCAAGTGAATTATTTAATTGTTATCTGTATTTTATCTTATGAAATACATTTAAAATAACATTTCGCACGCAACAATTATATTTAAACTTTGCAGAATAAACAATGGTAATGCATCACTGTATCTTTTATACATATTTGTAGGTCTCTCCTCATTTGCTCCTGTGTTTTCTTTCAGTCAGATCTTCTGTGATTGTTGTGTTTGGTCACATCACAAGGCCATCTATTTTTGCTTTAATTGTGTACTATCTTCTGAAGCGAAACAATAATTCAGGCATTTCTCAGTAAAATGTAGGTAGGTTTCATCGTGTTCACTATAGGCAGCAAGTAACAAGATAGTTTTATGCCTATTTCCATGATATAACAATGCTTGGATCAGTCTCTATCTTTTCTTCTAGGTCCTGATGACTCAATCCTGAAATTAGATAAACAAAAATTAGCTTAATGTAATAAACTCAATGACTGATGTTTCCTATTGTTTAAATATTCAAAAACTACTCTCACTGATATTAAAACCACAGAAAGAAATCCATTTGTTAACAATAGCTTGTAGAAGTTATTGATGGGAACCTTCACAGAGGAACCCACTTGGGTAAACAAATAAATAGTGATGGATAATAAAAAAAAAGCCTATACACACAACAAGCAGAAATGTTGTGTGTGATGCACCACTTATTCATCCCCAAAATTCTAAGAGGTTTTAAAGTTAGAGAGCTGAAACAATTTTCGCACAATTTTATAGCGGTTTTCAAAATAATAGGCAAAACTTGCATTTACCCCCATGTTCTATTTTTAGCCATGTCGGCCATCTTGGTTGGAAGGCGGTTCATCAGACACACTTTTTCAAACTAGATACCCCAATGATGATTGTGGCCAAGATTGGTAAAATATAGCCCAGTGGTTTCAGAGTGGAAGATTTTTGTAAAAGTTAACGGACGATGCCGGACGCCAAGAGATGAGAAAAGCTCACTTGAAGTGAGCTAAAAAGATGTTTTAAACTGTACTTGAACCATGCATATGATTTGTTTTAACGTAAATATTGAGCACAGAATGAGAACTTCTCACAAAATTTTACATGTCATAAGCACCAATACTAGTGATACATTGAAGAATGAGCTGCTTTCCCTTTCAATATTTTGGGTTACCCTAGTAGGTTTTAGTGGTATTTCTGTAGTTCAATGATATGTGTTTGTGTAATGTTATGATGATAATTGTTAGTAAAGTATTTTCCATTTTTTTTTCTTGAGAGCATAATGTGTTCTGTCCTCCTTTAACTTGTGTTTAAGGGCATACGATACAGTAACAGGAGAGGTAATGATGTTGTTAACGTAAAATGTTGTTTTTTGCGATGTCAAACTGTGACATATCAGGAAAAGACACACCTTTTTGACTGATTTTAATCATAAGTTTGAAAACAAGTACATTGACCCCTATTTTTTAAACTAATATTTGGGTTGATTATGTTTGACGATTATTTGTACCAATTTTGATGAACAAATCAGTGATGAATATTTTAAAAATTACATAAATAAACAGCAAAAATGCCTGTTTTTTCTAAAACCATGAAACTTTGATAAAAATGAATTATTGCCAAAGAATTGCTACACAAATTTAGAGCATACGTATGTAAAGAAGAATTTCCAAATGTGTTTACAAAAATCTGCTTTTGTTTATCTTTTGAAACAAAAAAGTTAGGTATGTCTGTCTAAAGAAAAGAATTGTTCAAGATACCGAAATTCTGAGTAAATGTCTAAAATTTTGACCCAACTTATCTCTAAAAGTAACACATGAAGGTATATTTTTTATTACATATTTGAAATGAGTTTGCGAAAAATAGCTTGTATGCAATGCTTGTAAAAAATTCACTGTGGGATCAAAACTACTGTATCTTATGCCCTTTATATTTCACATTGCTCAGGACAATATTTCACATTGCTCTAGACAAGATCAATATAAGGTGAAAGAACATTGACCTTATTTGTTGTCACTGATATGCTGCACCAGGATTTAACAAGCTTGCTTAAATTATCAAGCCCTAACCGATATTATTTGGTGGAGAAGGGGGAATAACTATATTTATGGCTGATGTACGGCAGTTTTATTCCTTGAAATCTATATGCTTTTAGTATGGAATGAATGTCAAGCATTACCTCGCATACACCATATATTGTACTATTTCAGTACAAAATTTACACTAAGAATAAATTTGGGTTGACTCCCTTTTAAGACTTGATTCACTCTGGATCTAAATTCTTTGTTTGCTAATTTTTCTTCAGGTGACATAAAGTTTAACAAGGGAAAAAAATGGTATATTCAATCCATATCACATTGTTATACATATAAAATCTTTTTACTGCATTTCATTGAATGAAATTTTTTTTTTAAATGAGAAAAGGCTAAACAATCTTCATCATGCAACATGCTAAGTAGATTATAATCAGATATTAATTTAAGTCTTGGGTTTTATTTTATTAGGATCTACTCAGAACAGGAAGAAAAACAAGGCAGTGTGTTTGTTCCAAGAAACATTCTGCATTTCCAGAAGTCTTTACTTTTAATTTTACTTGCCAGTTTTTGAACATATTTCATCATAACTATGGCGACCATTAAACCATGGATATAAATGCTGTAGTTTTACAGAGGTCATAACATCTCCTGGAAATTTGATTGGATATTTCTGTAGACGTCTAATCAATCCTTTCATAAGACCAAACTGGATCAATTTTCTACAAAAAATTTACAAAAAACAGAACTGACTGTTACATGAAATGAACTGTAAGAATATACCATGAACCAAAGGGATCACTCAAGCACTTAAGCACTATTAATTATATAGATAATGGATGACAGGGTCATAAATCAGAGTGATATCAATTCAAATCACCAGAAATCACCCGTTTCACAGGAAATCACTCAACGCCATCAAGAATAATTTTAACTCAATAATCCCTTGTGTTCTGCAAATCTGCCGCCATAGAATGGAAGTTGGCATAAATTAGAAAAAAAAGTACTTTAGACTTGCTTCACCAACTGCAAGCATCCTTGATTATACTTTTATATTGCTTTCTTGTACCTGTGTTGCTGCGTATACTAAAATTTTGCATCACTTTTATAGCGCATTTTTCAATGAAAATTTTGACATTTCTTTATTGAGATGCCAAAGGGAATGATAACCTCTAAGGAAGTAATTTGAATGTGCTATAAGTTCATGTGCCTGTAGAAAGACAGACAATGCCATATGGTTGAATGAAAAAGATAAAGTCTAAAATACCTGAACAATGCACCATTAATTCTTTTAGACATACACTTAATTAGATATGGAATTATATAGTTTTATAAATGGATAGAATACAAAAATTAAAAGCTGTGGTATGAATGTCAATGAAGCAACACTACACCAGGGATGTAGATGTAAGCAACTATAGGTCACCGTACGGCCTTCAACAATAAGCAAAGGCCATATGGTATAGTAAGCTACAATAGGCACTGACATGACAAAATGTAAAACAATTCAAAAGAGAAATTTAAGACCCTGATATTGATAATATCAGAAATAATAAATACTATTTTGGAAATTCCATCCACAAAGAAATCAGTTTCATTGCTGTGATTATTTCTGTTTTAATGTTGTGATAATATCAAGGGTCACAAGATTTCCTTTTTTCAATCAGTCAGATTACCTTAGCTGTATTGGACAAAAGCTTCCAGTATTTTGGTCCTATGCTCTTCACCTACGTACTGTATTTCGCCTTTTAACTTTTGTTATTCGAGTGTCACTGATGAATCTTTTGTTGACGAAAAGTGTTTCTCACTCTGATATACAATTGACTGAAACAACAGTAAAAACTTTCAGATATTTCTTAATTTGTATATGCAGTTAAGTGTATTCTGGTTTAGGATTGTTTATATATTTAGATTTGATGACAAGACAAAAGATCTATTTTTTTTCTTTCTTCTTCATTTTTGCAGTATGAATAACATACCTTTCATCAATTTTTAGAGCATGAGGATTGAATCTTGAACATATGTCTTTTACTGTTACACCTGGTCCTAATGAGCAATAAAGTAGGAAAATATCCCTGAAGTTTGGTGGTTGTAAATTGCCTAAAAATATAGAATTCTAAATTAGAGTGTCTTGGACTTCCTATAGATCTATTCAAAAATAATTCCTAAACTTATTTTGAGATATGCTAGGAAGGATAACTGTATTTCTACAGACAAGTAAAATTGATCTATAAACTTCTTCAAATTAAATTGCATTTAATCCTATTAATTTTTGGATTTTTTAAATTTCTCTACTTGGTAAAATCATCTGTTTCTATTGATAGGAGTAATGACTTTCATTATTGATAATATTTGTGGTAATTGATATCATCTAAAAGTTTGTCACATATACAACATTTACTACATATTTGGTTATAATTCCTCCATTTGTTTTAACTTATTTATGTTTTGCTGAATTTTCTGGGTTTTTTTTGTAATAGGGTCACCGATATTAAATGGTAGTTAAAGGCATCAACTATGTATTTTAAGTTTGGAACCAAATGGTCCATAGAAAGATCTTCCAATATTTATTTTCATTAGTTTTCCGATTATTTACTGTAACTTTTAACTTTAAATTTATTTGAACATATAATATTTTTCAAGAATCTTCAATGAAATTTTAATCTGAATTTGCCAATGCTATTTATCATAGTGATCTGTTAGTGGGGTTATAAGATATAAGTGTTCAACTGAACACCATTTGTGTGATAAAGTTTGGTACATAAATGATCATTCTAGTGGTTTTAGAGAGGCGTTTAAAAAGTTAATGGAAGGGAGACTGACATCAAATGGTGACTTAGCCACCATCTGACCAGGTGAACTGATGATCAACAGAGACTGGTGGATATTTTACTCAATAAAAAAAAAATTTCAACCTTTCTTTGCTACAAATTTGATACACTCTTCTTGAAGTCTCTTGTTTGTGTAAAGTGTTTGTATGTCTGGACGTGTGGTGTAGACATTGGAATACTACAAAATAAATGGGGAATGTGTCCATGGGACACAGCTGATACCCCTGCTTGCATATAATGTTATAAAGGGATATAACTCAAGAACTGTAATAGTGACGCTACCCAAATTTGTACTTGATCTGATTTTTGTGGTAATAAGCATTGTGTATACGTTTCATAACATTTGGTTGAGGCAAACTAAAGTAAGAGAACGGAAACGAAACATTCAGCAAATTTTCCATTTGTAGAGGGGCATAACTCTAGAACGGCAAAAGTGACGCCACCAAAATTCAAACTTGATCTGTGTTTTGTGGTTATAAGCATTGTGTATAAGTTTCATAATATGTGGTTGAGGCAAACTAAAGTTAAAGAACGGAAACGAAAAATTCAGCATTTTTTTCATTTATAAAGGGGCATAACTCTAGAACAGTAAAAGTGACGCCACCAAAATTCAAACTTGATCTTTGTTTTGTGGTAATAAGCATTGTGTATAAGTTTCATAACATTTGGTTGAGGCAAACTAAAGTTAGAGAACAGGAAACCAATTTTGGGACGTATGTACGGACGAATATACGTACGTACAGACGGACAAAGTTAAAACTTAATGCCCTCTCCGCTACGGCGGGGGCATAAAAATGATAAAAAAAAACATTAATTTATGTTCCTAATAGGTCAAACCAATAACTTAATCATCTGTATGTTAAAAATTTAAAATTCATTAGCATTTCAAAGCAATTTTCAGTATCATGATCACTCATCTAGGCTTAGTAATTGCTTATATCCACATCAATTAAACTTTGGTGGATAATTGTCTCATTGACAATCGTACCACATCTGCTTATTTTTATATTAGTAAAACTAGACCTTAAATGATTACTGTAATATCATTTCAAAACATTTAACTTTTAATAATCAAGAAAATTTGTACTGTATTATATTTTTGATAAAATGTCCATAAATTGCATTGTCTTGCATTTTATTTCATTTGTAAAGCTTTATAATGGTCAATTTTACAAATCATTGAAAAAAGTGAGAATTACCTCCCTTATGCTGTTGGAAGAGTATGAGAAATCAAAAAAATAATTACCTGGAAAATTGGAATAACCTTGATAACTTGGTAATGTCTATAAAGAAAACAGACATATTATTTATTATGATCAAAGGACATTTTTTTCAACATGAATATAATGGAACAATGAAAAATCTTAAAATGACATGACAAAATAGCATATTTAGTATTTTTTTAATTACAATTGCTAATTTGGCACTAGTATCAATAATTAAAACTTTAATTTTCCATGGCATGTACTCTCCTGTGTGTTTTATAAAAAAGACTTAACTGAGGACTATTCCAGATTAAAAAAATATATGAGTGGAGTGGAAGGCACTTAAAGTATATTAGAGGCACCAATGAGGATCACCAATCTTGGTGTAAATATTAATACATAGGTTATGTGGTTCAGAACAGTTTTTACAATATACATGGAAATACACTTTGATTTTTTTATAAAATTATTTGGCTGTTTCTCTATTAAATATACTCACTACAAAGTATGAACGAAGTTTTGTCACAGTTTCATATTAGTTTGATGTTAGAAAACTTACACAAGATTCTGCAAACAAGATTTCACCAGGTTAATCTCCACATCAGCCTCACCAGCTATCTTCGCCACATGCTTAAATCCATCGATATAGGAGAGAATCTAAAATATAAAAATATCTACTCTCAGTTTCTCACATTTAAAACATCTTATTACTGTCAGAATTCAGTGTTGCGGTACTGACATGATTAATAACGTACCATTCTTAAACTCTCTGTTTCTGAATAATTTCTAAATTTTTAAACAAAGATTCAAACTTTTGCAGGCAAAGTTAATTAAACTTAAGTAGATTTGGCTATTCTTTTCGTGTCCCCTTTTTATCATATAGCTCCTGAAGTATTCAAGTATTCATACATCATTATATCATTGGCGGTTAAATGTTTGGGTTTGAGTGTTCCTGTTGAAGGTCAATCCAGAAAAACTTTATGGACATACCAAATTTTGTTCTTCTTCATTTTTTAACACAATCTAAAGTTAATACTCTATGAAATTTGGTATTGTAGAAACTTAAAACATGTAAAATGTATCTTATAATATTTAGGAATTCATTTTAAAAGATACATTTTACATGTATCTTTTAAAAGATACATGTAAAATGTATCTTTTAAAATGAATTCCTAAATATTATAGAGAGTGAAGCAAGTCTTCGGGTAACATTTATACTTATCCTTCTGATTTATATCACCAATATTATAATTCATTCAAAATTACAAATACCTTGTTTATTTGCACCATGAACATTGAAAGTGATTCTGTGATACATTTCATTCTTAAAGACTTTCCAATGTAAATGTTAGATTTAACATTATGAAGGGCCTCGGTGGCAGGGTGGTCTAAGTAGTTAAACTAATGTATCACTAATCTGTCAACACTGAGGTTGTGAGTTCAAATCCCGCAAATGGCAGCCGTGCTCGACTCCAATCTTAATTGGCTAGAATTGTTAGATTTCCTACAAAAGGTCATGGGTCTCTTCTGGCACTCCAGCTCCCGCCACTATAAAAAAACTGACCGCCACGAAATAGCACAACAATGCTGAATGTAGCATTAAACACCAATCAAATCAATCAATCAACTTATCATTATGCCTACTTTAGTAAGTGCACTTGTATGATTCAGGCCATGTGATTTTGATTCTATTCAAAAAAGTATATTTCTACTTGTTTTGTATCTCTTAATATGTCTCTTTTAAATGACTTTTTTTGTCATGCCAGACATACTGATGCTAAAATATGTGGCAGGAGAGGTGGATTATTCATGTATTGTATCAGATGTCATTCACTCAGACATTTTTATCAGTCATACATCAGTTGTCATAGATCCCTTTTTTATGGTTCAGAGAATACATAAAAACTCCATTGTATAGTTTTTAAATCACATGATTTTTTTTCAGCTAATATGAGTAATATGTTCACTATCTTTTGTATAATTTAGAAGTATGTGCATTATTTCCAAGTATTTTGGTTATTGTCTATTTCTTGACAATTTGACGCTCATTAGGAATCTGAATGTGATTTCATATTCTATTGATTTTAGTCTTTCTGGAAATACCTGTTGAATTGTTAAATCCCAATGACCTAATTTTAAATTCTGTTTATCTTTTAAGAAGACTGGTACCTCTTGATCCTGAACAGGAGGAGAGTCATATATTTTGGGAGCAACATTTAAGTGAACAGTACAACTTTCACCTAAATAACAGAATACATATATCTACAAGAAAAGGTACCTATAAATATAAGATCAATATTGAACATATTCAGGTGCGGATCCAGCCATTTTTAAAACAGGGGATCCAACCCAGGATAAAGGGGGGTTTCAAACATATGTCCCTATTTAAAAATTTAAAAGCATTGATCGTAAAAAAATAGGGGGAGGTTCCAACCCTCCCCCCCGGATCAGCCACTGATAGTCATATGTCATTGAATTACATTTTATACGAGATTAAAATAGGACAGTTCACAAAATACATTTCTATTTTCTCGGCTAAGTTGGAAGGTTGTTGTGGTATGTAGGGTACAAGTTAATGAGACAGCAACCCATTGACACAAGTAATCAAAGGTCATTTGGAGGTCAGCTGTAAATATGTCCGGCGTATATTGTCTATACAACATGGTCTGTTTAGAAAATTATCGCTGAAAGTACCCCCAATTTTTTTTTAATTTCTGAACCCTTGTCAACTTGGTCAAAATATATATCTGTATTCACAATTTTATATGACACATATCACATATAATACAGGAGAAGGTTATTTTTTGTCCACTTGACTTCAAAAAGTTATAATGCTATAATGTTTAAGATACATTATACAAAGATATCGCTAAGGCGTATGTTCATATTACTCTTACCAGGAACAATGGTTTAAACAAAATTTTAGGTCATGAATATCAAATATGCCAATGTTCAGCCTATTAATGATATCACCATGATAAAATAAAAAACATGTCTGCATTAAAATAACCTATTTTATAATTATTTTTTTAATATTAAAAGTTGCCAAATTTTGAAACACAAAAAGAAATTAACTTTTACTATTAAAGTGGCCAAATAATTGCTTCCTTCATCTGAATCTCTACATTCAAAAAGTAGAATTTCAATATGTATCCTTAATAAAATGGGGGATTACATTTCAGTGATTGTAAAACGAAAAAAAACGTTATTTAGTTTGTTAAAAAAAATGTTGATGTTTTGAGTAGTGCTTGAAATTTCGTTTTTTAAGTTCAGTCCTCATATTGACAACTTCAAAGTATTGACAAGCAGAAAGTAGGTGTCTGCCAGATCTGAAAAGTACACCCATGTTACACAACTCAATGCTGTAGAGCTGCTGACCAAACATGAAGTACAGATAGTTATGTTCAGTAATACTTGAAACATGTACAACATACAACATACCCATCCTTATACTGCAATATTCATATTTATTAAGCTGGTGCATTAATGTTTCCAGGAACTGAAGGATGTTTTCCCTGTTATGTTCCTGTGAAAGGGCTTCAATTTCAGACTAACAAATAAACATAATATACATTATAAGGCATTCCATTCATAAAAATATCTGTTTGTACAAAGAAGACGTAGTGCCTTTTAAAATATATCATATTTCATTGTTCAATTGTTCAATAGCTAAAGTAAAATTAACAGCCATAACATGTTTTTCATTCTTCATGAACTTATCATTTTTACTGCATCTCTTCTGTTGCAATCAAAAATAAATACCCTAATGGGAGAATTTATGATGGATTCCTTTTGGATTGGCTATTACTCCTTCAAACAAAATGTCTTTGCTCCAAAAAAAAAAAAAGAATTGTAGAATATGATAAAATGAGTTGACACAAAATTCAGAAACCTCTATTCCCTCCACCTTTTACACAGAAAGAACCATAAACAACCCACAAAGTAAAGAAAAGAAAAAGATGAGAGAACCAAGGAAAATTCAAATCGGAAAGTCCTTTATCAAATGACAAAATCAAAACCTCAAACACATCAAACTAATGGAAAATAACTGTCATATTCCTGACTTGGTGCAGGCATTTCCTTATGTAGAAAGTGGTGGATTAAACCTGGTTTTATAGCTAGCTAAATCTCTCACTTGAATGACAGTCACATAAAACTCCGTTATATTGACAACAATGTTTGTACAAAACAAACGCACGTCTATATTATATAGTCATCTACGTTTTAATATTGTATTTACATTGTGTTATAGATTAAACGTATTTGTGCAGTGTATGTTTACTTGTTTTTGTTCGAGTTAAGCCATTTCAATTGATATTTTATAGCGTGTCAGGAATATGACAGTTGTTGTCCATTCGTTTGATTTGTTTTATCATTTGATTTTGCCATTTGATTAGGGACTTTCCTTTTGAATTTTCCTCGGAGTTCAGAATTTTGGTGATTTTACTTTGTATGTTGTAATTTTACACTACTGTCTCAGGTTAGGATGAAGGTTGGCGCCTGTTAAAACCTTTAAACCCGCTCGATGTTATGCACCTGTCCGAAGTCAGGAGCCTGTTGTTCAGCGGTTGTCGTTTGTTGGTGTGGTTCATAAGTATTTCCCATTTCTCATTTTATTATATAGATTAGACCGTTGGTTTTCCTGTTTAAATTGTTTTACGTTAGTCATTTTGGGGCCCTTTAGCTTGATGTTCGGTATGAACATAGGCTTCATGTTGAAGGCCGTACTTTGACCTATAATTGTTAACCTTTTATGAATCGTGACTTGGATAAAGAGTTGTCTCATTGGAACTCACATTACATCTTCTTATTTATATAATAGGTAAAAATGTCAACATTGTGTTATAATCTTAACACCTATAAAAACAAACAAATATGTCAACAACTAAAAAAAAAATAGCATATAGACAAAGCACACAAGCAAAAATGAAAGACAAGAATACAAAAAATGACCACAGCACAGCAACACATTGGCGGTATGCACAAGTACCAAGTCACGACTAAAGAATATTACCAAAAATGGACTAAACAGTAAAGGTTAATAATTTACAAAGACGAATAAAAGAACACTATAACATGTAATAAAGATGATAAACAATGTCAGTACCTAGAATCTATACTTCAAGACGACATGTATTATTTGTAAAGTTGATAAAGAATATTTATCAACAAGTTCTTGGGATCTTCCAATGAACTTTTTTTAGAAAAAGGACGAGACGTTCTTTGACATAAGAAGCTATATACCCAATAGCCTAACATACTTAATATATGAATATTTTTACAAGCCTCTCCTAATTACATGTCCTCCATTTAACATTTATTTTTTATTACCCAAATTTTATTTTTACAAATTTGATGAGAAAGAGGAGGACAAAGAGGAGTAGGAGGAAGAGGAAGACTGCTTGAGTAGCAACAACAAAAATGACGAAAGTATGCAACAATTGAAAGACTGATGGGACAAGATAATAATACATCAGTGATGTTTTTCAGCTTATTTCATTAAAAAATGAACCAAACTGACTGCTCATAGCGAATTATAATTATTAATATTCCTGTTTGAAACAGAAAAAAAACTTAAATTTTTGACAAATATTGTAGCATTCCAAAATCAAATTGTATTTCTAAATAAAATTCAACATGCATGACAGCATGTGCTACCCATTACACCATCACTACAATGCATAGGGAAACAAACACAAATTCTGATAAGACACATAATTTCATAGTTGTTGCATAGAAATGTATCTGTGCTCCATACTAAAAATGTGTGCCAAAACAACATTTAACTCTACAAAATTACAAAAAGAAACATAAAATTCTTAAATAAAATGTTGGTTTATTTGTTGCTGAACAAAAAATTGTATTTGAACGGAACAGGTTTAATATGTTTCATGTGAATTGCATGTACATCTTGAATTATGAATTGCATTAGCTTCACTATATACAACAATTGACAGATACAGGCCCTAGTGTAATTTATAAAAGAAATATGGAGACATATTTACAAATTTTTGTGTTATGGAGAAATGATTAATTTAGAGTGGCCTTTCAAAAACTCAAATTCAACTCTAGCACTTAATATTAAATAAACATTATTTTTTAAATGAAGAGTAAAATTTTGTCACATTTTTTTTATCAAACATAAATAGCCCAAATCGAGAAAACTAATGACAAAAGATAAATATTCGAATTGCCTGTACAGATCTACAACTAATATCAATAAATACCACAACTACAGGTTTATTTGTATGCATAAGAAGGACTTAAATGCTGCTATAAATCTGGATCAAGTATAGACAAGTTCTTATTAACTTCCTGATTGACTGACATCTAAGGAAAATGAAGATGTGTTACTAACAAACAGCTGAGGAAATTTTTTTCAAGAAAAAAGGTATGGAAGATCAATCTATTTTCATTTGACTGTGCAAAGAAATTTGATTTACAATAGAATATTGAATACATGTATCACCTGTTTTAATGTACGAAACTTAATGACAATATCAATGTTCATATAAAATCGATGCATAAGGATGACAATATTTCCAAATGATAATCACTGAAGACTGCAGGACGCAAAGTATTTGTATATTGGACCACAAAACAAATAGGCTTATTCTTATATTAAAATGAGGAGATATGGTATGATTGTCAACGAGAAGACTATCTAACAGAGACCAAATGATGTAGATGAGTTAAATACTGTCAGTGTATGGCCTTTAACAATGAGCAAAACCTTTATCTCATAGCAAGCTATGAAAGGCCCCACTATGACAAAATGTAAAACAATTCCCTGTATCTTCCATATGTATATAAATTTCATTCCAATCAAGCAATTTGGGACACTCAAGTTATCTTGTGGAACCCCTACGATTTGGACACAAAGTTGGATGGAATGACATATAAAGAGATTACTATCTGCTTTTGCAATTTTTCAAGGATCATAAACGTGGTTTGTCCTCAATTTCACCAAAGTTGCTCAGTTCACACACTCATTCACTTGCTTTAAAAAAGATACACATTTAAACTCTAGTATAAATAGGTCTCTGGTTTTTTTTTTACAAATTTTTACTATAACATTAGGTCTTTAAATTATCAAAAAAGAATACAATTGACCCAACAATTCTTGTCTAGACCAAACATTGCAATTGATGGTCAGATGTCTCTGATAATTTGAAAATAGATATAGAGGTTTGCAGAGGAGATAATATTTTGTAAAAGTGCTGGAGTTCAAACATATATAGTAAAACACAAAATTGTGTCTTTTATTTCAGGAAAAATTTGACATATATTCAAACAAACGATGATGGCATAAATACAGGTTGTCATTGATTATTATTTCATAAATTAAATTGTTCGTTCATACCAGGCATCTTAACCAAAGTATGATCAATTTTTCAAACCATCGCACTGGGAGATTGCAGTCTGTGGACATTTTGATAAAGGGAAATAATTGCTAGGTAACTTATATTCAGTTTATTAAAAGTTTTCTTCAAAAATAATTTAAATTTAAATAATTTTTACAATGTTTACCATGATAAATCAACCCATTGAATAAATTTTAAAAAAAATATGTCAGGTAGTGTAGATCTCTTATCTTTTGTCTGTGTAAATAAACAATATTGAAACAGTAATTTGTCAATTTACTTTTTATCAATAAAGGTGAAAGAGGGGAAATAGAAGGTATGTTTTGTCACATGATTTTGTAGAACTGAGCATGCCCAGATTTACAATTGTCTGTTGAACTGGGCATGCATTGTTTTACAATTTTCATATGATCTGTACATTATGCACAATTCCCCAGGAAATTGTACAAATGAGCAGTTCATATATATGCATGTAAAACAATGAAGCCTAGATCATCAAACAATTGTAAAACTGTGCATGCTGATGCACGTAAAGGAATGCAACCAGGTCCATCATACAATTGTAAAACTGTGCATTCGTTTATATTTATGGAATGCGCAGATTTACCACAGTTTGTTGAACTGGGCGTGCATTGTTTTACAATTTTCATACGATCTGTACATTATGCACAATTCCCCAGAAAATTGTACAAATGAGCAGTTCATATATATATAGGCATCTAAAACAATGAAGCCTAGATCATCAAACAATTGTAAAACTGCATTCGTTTATATTTATGGAATGCGCAGTTTTACCAAAGTTTGTTGAACTGGGCGTGCATTGTTTTACAATTTTCATATGATCTGTACATTATGCACAATTCCCCAGGAAATTGTACAAATGAGCAGTTCATTTATATGCATTTAAAGCAATGAAGCCTAGATCATCAATCAATTGTAAAACTGTGCATGCTGATGCACGTAACAGGAATGCAACCAGACCCATCATACAAGTGCAAAACTGTGCATTCGTTTATATTTATGGAATGCGCAGTTTTACCAAAGTTTGTTGAACTGGGCGTGCATTGTTTTACAATTTGCATACGATCTGAAATTGGGAGACTTGTATAACAACCATTGAGAAAGTTGGCACATGATTTGAATATCTATTGGCCTAAAATCCATCCCCGAAGTCCCAAACCACTGACATAAAAATTGAAGCAACACTTTTGTCTACATTTGTCTACAGTCTATTAACATCAATATTAATGAAAAAAAATATGTTCACAGAATCACATCAAGATGAAATATCTTTTATATGTTTTGTAGTGGCTATTTGAATCAAGATGGCATTTTCACGATCCATAAAGGGAGCCCAAATACCAAAACCATGCGAGTTGTGTGAAACTGACACAAACATTAAATGGAAATGTGTACAATGCAATACACTTATGTGTGAAAAATGTAAGAAAATTCATTTAAAAGTTCAAACCTCAATCACACATGACATTGTTGATGTAAAAGGTTCAGAGGCTAAAAAAGAACAGGAACATACGATTATTACTGATAACATTCCCTGTCAGATTCACAAGAAAAAGTTGAATTGCATGTTTTGTAGAACATGTGACCGCTTAGTATGTCCAGATTGTATAACTGCTTCCCATAAAAAGCATGACCTAGATTCAATTGAGACAGTGTGCAATGAAAGAAGAGAAAAACTGAAAGAAATAGAATCCAAATTTTCAGAAAAATTCACACTTTGTGAAAAAGAAAACAGTAAAGTTAGGGATTTTAAAGCAAAATATGAGCAATTTTCTGCTGAATCTGTTCAGAAAATTAATCAACAAGAAAAGTTGATCATGAATGAAGTCATAAAGTATGCTAAAGCACTTAGAGAACAAATAGAAAGTGAAAAGCAAAGAATAGAAAAATCTATCACAGAAAAAGAGAAGCAAATGGCAGAAGTAAAGGAAACTTTACTTTATAAGCAAAGCAACATACAAGAAGTATTAGAATCAAATCAAGCTGCGTATGTGTTCAATACTTTTTCAGAATTCAGAAAAAATGAAATTCCAGATGCATCCTTTGAGGCCTTTCCTGACGAATCAAAGAATTTCTTTCCTACAAAAGGAAGTTTAATGAACATGACCAACTTATTTGGTTCACTTCAGAAATCAAAACTTCCAAAGGGATTGCCACAAGTCAACTTAGATGTTATCAAGAGTTATACTACAGATTTTAACACAGTGGATGGAATAATAATACAGGATGACAAGACAGCTTGGATTTGCGATGATGATATACCTACTCTTCATAAAATAAACATTGATGACAAAATCACAACTGTTAAAGATATTTCAGTTAAAATTAATGACATGACACTGACAGAAAATAATGATATTCTCCTGTCTTTGTATCACAGTACTGAAGTCAGTTTGTTAACAACAAAGACAGGAGAAATCAAACCTTTCCTGTCTGTGTCACCACTGATAACACTTGGCATACATGTCACTAAACATAATGAGATTATACTGGGTGTAGTGGATAAGGATAGTACTTACAACCTAACAGACAAAAGCTGTAGGAAAGTTATAATCTTTCAGATGAATGGGAAACAAAAAAAAATCATATGAGTATGATAAACATAAACAGAGATTATTCACTGTCCCTTTTATCATTACATCTAATGTTAACAATGACATACTGGTTATAGATAGAACATGTAATGATGATGAGAGGGTGATCGTTCTGGACAGGGACGGACAGGTTAAGTGGACCTATCAGGGAAATAATCAGGTTAATTCGGGGGATAAACTATTTAATCCTGCAGATATAGTAACAACATCAGTAGGTCATGTTATAGTGACTGATATTGACAACCATGCCTTACATGTCTTGTCAGGGGAGGGAGATCTACTGACATGTAAAGTTATGAAGGAACAGGGGATTATATATCCATGGTCGCTTGATATTGATACAAGGGGACAGCTATGGGTGGGAAGTCATTCTGGGGATGATCAAAGAACAGATGCCAAAATACATGTGGTGAAGATGTTTTTTTAATTCAATATGTTTTGTTTAAAAAAAATTAATAAATATTTAATTTCTGACTTAGCAATTAAAAAGCTTTTTGTATATTATATTCCTATAAAAGAACATTTAAAAATTGATGTCCATAAACATGATAAATAAGTTTGTTTTTTAACTAAGATCTTAGAAAATGAATGAACTAATGGAGAAGTGGGGTAGTAACTGATTTGATCAATCATCCTGTATATGGATGGGTAACAAGTGACATGTAGAGCAAACAAATACCAGGCAATCATTAATATATTCAAAATGAACATAGATACAAGTTAATTGACATTTATGGGTGGAGTGTCATTTTGTTATAGTTATGCAATGATGCAATAGATATAAGAAGATGTGGTATGAGTGCCAATGATACCTCTCCATCCAAGTCACAATTTGTAAAAGTAAACCATTATAGGTCAAAGTACGGCCTTCAACACGGAGCCTTGGCTCACACCGAAGCCATTATGTCATTCATCGGGTCATGTTTGCAGTGTCTTTTTAATCAGCATTTTTAATTAAAAACTTCAAGAATTATTTTCAATCTTTGACTTTTGTGCTTTTGATATGCATTTATGTATGTATAAAAAGGAATTTAAGCATATTCATGTTCATATACATATACGTTATCTCTTACTTCATTTTTTTTTATGAAAATGAATGAATGAATGAGAGATGTGGAATAACTATTATTTAGACAGCAAACCAACAATACAAGCTTACCTAAAGTACCTAAGATAATAGGCAAAAATGGAATAACCTTTGTCTTTTAAGGGCCAAAACTCTTCAGAAAACAAAACTTCCAAGGGGATTGCCACAAGTGAACTTAAATGTTATCAAGAGTTGTACTACAGATTTTAACATGGTGGAAAGAACATTAATACAGGATGACAAGACAGCTTGGATTTGTAATGATGAGATACCTTCTCTTCGTATAATAAACATTGATGACACTATCAAAACTGTTAAAGATATGTCAGTTAAGATTTACGACATGTCACGGACAAACAATAATGATGTTCTCCTGTCTTTGAATCACAGTACAGAAGTTACTGTAAATTCAGAAATTATTGCGAGGTTTTTATTAATGCGAATAATGCGACTTCTTGAGTATCGCAATAATAAGAACTCGCATTCAAACATATATATATATATATCTATATATATCTGTATGTAGCTTTTCCTAAATCCGCAATAATTAAACTCGCATTCTTGTTCAATCTTCAAAAATCGCAATAATAAATGCACGCAATAATTTATGAATTTACAGTAGTCTGTTAACAACAAATACAGGAGAAATCAAACCTTTCCTATCTGTGTCACCATTGGTGCCACATGGTATACATATCACTAAACATAATGAGATCATACTGAGTGTAATGGAGATGAGTGATTATGACAACCAAACAGACAAAAGTTGTAGGAAAGTTATAATCTTTGGGATGGATGGGAAACAAAAACAATTATATGAGTATGATAAACATAAACAGAAAATTTACTATCCCTTGTAGAATCACATCTAATGTTAATAATGAGACACTTGTTATAGATAAAACATCTGATATTGATGGGAGGGTGGTGGTTCTTGATAGGGAGAGACAGGTTAAGTGGACAAATCGGTGAAATCCTGAGGTTAATTCAGGGAAAAAACATTTCTTCCTACAGATATAGTAACAACATCTGTAGGACATGTTATAGTCACTGATATTTACAACCATACCTTACATGTGTTGTATGGGGAGGGAGATCTACTGACATGTAAAGTTATGGAGGATCAGGGGATTATATATCCAGCGTCACTGAATATTGATACCATGGCACAGTTATGGGTGGGATGTTATTCAGGGAATGATTAAATATTAGATGCCAAACCTTTCCCTTCATAAAGAGGGCTTCTATCGAAAGAATTGCTGTCTTTTGTCCTATAAGAATAGAAATAATTCATTTGGGCTTGAATTAATATTGATTTTACCACGGGTTGGCCCTTTATGCTGATATTTTACCCCTTACTGTCGCACAAGGTAAAATATTTGGCATAAAAGGCAAACTGTTTTTAATCAGATTGGTGTGATTCTGTTTGTTATGATACAATGATGGATTGTATGTCATTCATCAGGTTCATGTAGAGTCTTTTTAATCAACATTAAATCAATTAAAAACTTCAAGAACTATTTCTAAATCTCTGACTTTTCTTACTTTTATATATATAATTTTATATATTTGTATTATTTTTGCATGCCTCAATTTAATTGTTGGGTTAAATTATGACCGACAGCTTTTAACTTAGTATCCCTTGGGTTAATCTACCAAATCGTTAAGGGAATAACTATTTGGTATTGTATAACTTTATTCATTATTTAAGTGTATAATAAAATAATACAATGTTTATGATTTAATTACATTTTATTTATAATACAATTACACAATTGTACTTAATAAATGAATATGAATGCACATACAGATTGTTTTAAATTACTTAATTTTCCAGAGTCAACTCCGTGTTCGACTCGTTCCGTGTTCTAGTTATTTTTGGCCACAACACATCTGAGAAAATCTGAGAAGGCTTATTTTATTGATATAACCCTATGGCTGTGTTCTTAAATTCACAGTTGTGATGTGATCGTCAGTTTGCAAAGAATTCCGCTCAAACTGGTGCTAGGGGCTGTCTAAAACTTGCAATGAGGTGATAGTATTTTCGCTCCAAGCTAAAAGGTCTCACTGTGACTTTGAGATGAAGAACAGCATTAACAGCACTGTTCCTTTGGTATTGTATTTTTTGCTGTGCATGTATTGATTTAGTGTCTTGGATAGATATCCCACATCCTTTCTTTCTATATGATTTATTCATTAGTTATTGGCTTTGAACTAACTTTCGGTAACTGTGAGTACTTTTATATCAGTGCTTTGTGTTATGTGTATTTTTTTGTAGTTGTTTTTGTGCCTTATACTAATTTACTGGTATAGAGTAATTTTGATAAGCCTTTTGAAACTGATTTTTACAGTTTGTTCTGTTTTTGAGCTGTTACACCACTGTCCAGATTAGCCGAGGGTTGAGCGCTAACAAACATGTTTAACCCTGCCACATTTTCTATGGCTTATCTAGACCATTGTCTTATTTGAAAACAACTGAATTTAAAGGAGTTAGTCTTGTAGTTTCAGGTAAGATATTAGAAAATTAAGAGAAATTGATCCTTACTGGTATACCATTTATACCTTACACAAGAAGTTGCTAAAGGTAGAACGTTTTTACCCCCCTGTCAATCTACTTACTGAGCAGTGAGTCAGCAAGTAAATTATTTAATTGTTATCCATGTTTTATCTCTTGAAATACATATAAAAATCACATGCAACAATTATATTCAAAATTTGAAGAATAAAATTTGGTATGCATCACTGCATCTTTTATGTATATATATATTTGTAGGTCTCTCCACATTAGCTCTATTGTTTTTTTGCAGTCAGATCTTCTGTGATAGTTGCGTTTTGTCACATCACAGTGCCATTTAGTTTTGTTTCATTTGTGTACTATCTTCTGAAGCAAAACAATGATTCAGGCATTCTCAGTAAAATGAGTTAAGCTTCACTGTGTTCACTGTAGGCAGTAAGTAATGAGATCGTTTCATGTCTACTTCCATGATATAACAATGCTTGGATCAGTCTCTATCTTTTCTTCTAGGTCCTGATGACTTAATCCTGAAATTAGATGAACAGAAATTAGCTTAATGTAATAAACTCAATGACCCATGTTTCCTATTGTTTAAATATTCAAAAATAACTCCACTGATATGACAACCACAGAACATATAAAAACAAGAGTTCACATGCTGAAATGTCTCGCCTGCTTTACTGATAATTTTTTTATGTTGATAGTCCTAAAAATAAAACTTTACTACAAGGTCAGATAAACCAAACTGGAAATACATGTACACCTTACAATCATTCCATACACCAAATATAGTTGACCTATTGTTTATGGTTTCTAAGAAACAAACTTAACCAGGAAAATTTAGCATTGACCAATGAACCATGAAAATGAGGTCAAGGTCAGATGAACCATGCCAGACAGACGTGTACAACTTACAATCAATATATGCATTAAATATAGTTGACCTACTGCTTATAACATCTTAGAAACAAACTTAATCAGGAAAATTTAACATTGACAAATGAATCATGAAAATCAGGTCAAGGTCAGATGATACCTGCCAGACAGATATATACACCTTACAATCATTCCATACACCAAATAACAGACCAAACACAAAAACTTAACACTGAGCAATGAATCATTATAATGAGGTCAAGGTCAAATAAAACCTGCCACACTGACATGTACATCGTAAAATATTTCCATACACCAAACATAGTTGACCTATTGCATGAAGTATTAGAAAAAAAGACCAAAACACAAAAACTTTACTTTAACCACTGAACCATGAAAATGAGGTAAAGGTCAGAAGACACCTGCCAGTTGGACATGTACACCTTAAAATCATTCCATACACCAAATATAGTAGACCTATTGCTTACAGTATCTGATGTATGGACTACGAAAACTTAACCTTGTTCACTGATCCATGAAATGAGGTCCAGGTCAGATAAAAACTGTCTGACAGGCATGAGGACCTTGCAAGGTACGCACATACTAAATATAGTTATCCTTTTACTCATAATAAGAGAGAAATTAACATTACGAAAAATCTTAACTTTTTTTTCAAGCAGTCACTGTAGTCACTGAACCAATGAGGTTAAGGACAATGGACATATGACAGGAGGAAACTTCATAACATAAGGAATCTATATACCAAGTATGAAGCATGCAGGTCTTCCATCTTCTAAAATATAAGGTTTTTAAGTAGTTAATTAATGCCGCCGCCGCCGGATCACTATCCCTATGTCGAGCTTTCTGCGACAGAAGTCGCAGGCTCGACAAAAACCATTTGTTAACAAAAACTTGTAGAGGTTATTGATGGGTACCATCAAAGAAGGTACCCACTTGGGTAAACAAATAAATAATGATGGGTTATTCAATATAAATATAGCCTATACACACATCAAATAGAAATGTTGTGTGTGATGCACAACTTATGCACCCCTAAAATTCCAAGAGGTTTTAAAGTTAGAGAGCTGAAACAATTTTGTACATGTTCACAGGGGTGGCTTACTTGAACTAAGATTTTGACCATGACTTTCAATATATGGTTTTCCTCCTTGTTCCAAACACACCATCTAATAAAGGTGAATAATAATGCCAAGTTTTATTACTAAACTCATAAAGGTTCAAAAGTTGGAGAGCAGAAACGAAATTTGTAAATATGCAAAGGGGTAACTAAGGTGAACTAAGTTTCAAACCATGACTATTACCGAACAGTTTTTTTCCTTGTTCAGGGCACACGTTCTGGTAATGGCGAACACTCATATAAAGCTTCAGTACCCAAGGCCAAGAGGTTTGAAAGTTAGAGGGCAGAAAAGATTTCTGACAGAAACACTGACAAACAAACTGATTACTATAGGTCTTTCCCAGATTAAATAGGGCCCCTAATAGGGCGCTAATTATAAGAGTGATTTATATATCATGTCCTCAGTACAAACTCATTTATCAAACCATATCCATATTCAAAGTATAACTGCACTACCCCCAGTACACCAGTATAAATATAAGGAGATGTGGTAGATATGATTGCATATAAAACAAATACCTACCAGGTTTATTTCTAATGAGTTAGAAGGGAGGTTGAAGCACTTTTCACAGTGTTTGTTAAATATTGAAGCCATCAAAAAGATGTTTTAAGCTGTCTATGAACCATGCATATGGTTTGTTTTAAAGTAAATTATGAGCACACAATCATACTTTTCACGAAAAATTACATGTCATGAGCACAACTACTGAATATATTTTTTAAGGAGCTGCTAGTCTTTCCAGAGCACTTTGGTTTACCCAATGCATAGTAGAGTTTTAGTGTGATTCCTGTAGTTAAAAGATTTTTATTTAATGTTCTGGGGATAATTGTTAGTACAGTATCTTCCTTTTTTTCATTAGAGCATAATATGGTTTGTTCCTCTTCAACTTATACCCAATATTTCATATTGTTAAGGACAAGATTAATATAAAGTTAAAAGAACACAAAATCTATCTGTTGTTAATGCTATGTTGCATCAGGTGTTGACAAGCTAGCTTGAAAAATCAATCACTTACAGATATTTCTTGGAGTCAAAGGGGGAATAACTATCTTTTAGGCTTATTTGAGACATTTTTATTCCTTGAAATCTATATACTTTTGTGTGAAATGGCTATCAAGAGTTACCTCCCATACACCATTTATTGTCTGTACTATTTCATTACAAAATATTCACTTAGAATAAATTTGGATTATCTCCCTTTTAAGACAGTTTGACATTTTAAATCCAATTTGATTGTAAGCTCATTTTTAATTCTATGACAGTTAAACAATGAAAAACCAAGTATATTCCATCCATTTCATGGACATATCAAGTCTGTTTACTGCATTTCATTGACTGAATTGTTTCTTTTTTTTAAGTTAATGAGGCTAAATTAAAAGTAAACAGATCTTTATCCCATGAGATGCCTTTTTCTCTAAGGCAACAAGTATTTTTTTTACACTTAAATTCAACATGCTAAGTAGACTATCATAGGATTTAAAAAAAAAAAAATTTTTACGCTCAAATTGATTCTTTAGTGTACATCTTGCAGTTTAACAATAAAACTGGTTGTACAGCATTCCATCAAGATTCCCTGTTAAATTCAAATGGTAGGTGTGTATCTGACAAGGAACCATACTCAGGACAGGGAGAATAACAAGGCTCTTCAAGAAGTCTTAATCATAATTTTACTTGCCAGTTTTTGAACATATTTCATCATAACTATGGCGACCATTAAACCACGGATACAACTGTTGTAGTTTAACAGAGGTCATAACATCTCCAGGAAATTTGATTGGATATTTCTGTAGACGTCGAACCAATCCTTTCATCAAACCAAACTGGATCAATTTTCTACAGAAAAAGACAAAGCAAAACTCAATATTACATTAACAGCACTATAGAAATATCAACTTTAAAAATTACCAATCTAGCACTCTAGCACAACTGATTATGGTGATAATGGATGAAATAGTAGTAAATAAGAGTTATTAATTATAATCAACCTGTTTTACAGGAAATCACTCAACATCAACAAGAGTGATTTAAACTCAATAATCCCTTGTGTTCTGTAAGGCAGCCAATATTAGAATGTAAAACGGCATAATTTCTAAATTAGAAACTATAGTACTTAAACCTTCCTTTCAGCAACTGCAAGCATCCTGTGATTTAGTTTTCTTTGATAAGGTTTAAATTGTACTTGTGATGTTGCATATCATACTGGTGCAATATAATTTTGTATTGTTATTGCACATTCTTGTAAATTCTTTATTGAGATGAAAAAGGGAGAACTGAACATTCAGCAAGTATTTTTTTGCTTAAGTTTTCAATAAGTTCAGCAATTCTCAAAATGAAGGTTTGTCAACATATCTCCTGTAAATATCCTATTCAGGCAACAATATATATATATATCAGTTAAACAAATGACAGCAGTATGAGTTAATCAATTAAATTAACAGTTAAATCTTTCAAACATTTCCTAATGAAGATTGCTGTGCAGTTGAGCGAAACCTAAGGAGTTCTAAATGTTTAGGATTGGTGGATAGATTTCGCTTTTAATGACACGACAAAACATTTGTTTTTCTTATTTCTTAATTAATTTAGCAATATAGTACTTACCTTTCATCAATTTTTAGAGCATGAGGATTAAATCTTGAACATATGTCTTTGACTGTAACACCTGGTCCTAATGAGCAATAGAGTAGGAAAATGTCCCGGAAATTAGGTGGTTGTAAACTACCTAAAAAATAGAATTCTAAATTTGAGTGTTTGGGACTTCCTATAGATCTATTTGTAAATAATCATTACTTATTTTGAGATATGCTAGGAAGGATAATTGTATTTCTAAATACAAGCAAAATTGTAAATATAAAGTGATTGCAAAAATTTTTCAGATATATAAAATCCTTCAAATGAAATTGCATGTAATTCTATTAATGTTCTGATTTTTTTAATTTCTTTATTTGGTAAAATCATCTGTTTCTATTGATAGGAGTAATGACTTTCATTATTGATAATATTTGTTGTAATTAATATCGTCTAAAAGTTTGTCACATATACAACATTTACCAAATGTTTTGTGAAATTCATCCATGTGTTTTAACTAATTTTTGTTGTGTTTTTTTTGTAATAGGTTCACCGATATTTAAATGGTTGTTAAACATGTTAAAGGCATCAACTATATATTCTAAGTTTGGTACCAAATGGACCATTGAAAGATCTTCAATGTTCATTTTTATCAGTTTTCCGATCATTTACCTTAACTCTAAGATCTATTTAAACTTGAAAGATTTTTCAAGATATTATTTTTAATCAAATTTAAATCTGAATTTGCCAGTGCTATTTAACTTAAGTCTAAGATTTTTCAAGATATTATTTTTAAATCAAATTTAAATCTGAATTTGCCAGTGCTATTTAACTCAAGTCTAAGATTTTTCAAGATATAATTTTTAAATCAAATTTAAATCTGAATTTGCCAGTGCTATTTAACTTAAGTCTAAGATTTTTCAAGATATTATTTTTAAATCAAATTTAAATCTGAATTTGCCAATGCTATTTATCTTAAGTCTGTGATGATGTAATGGTTAATTAGCATGTTTTTTTTCTACTGAAGGTCGGTGATTCTCTTTGGGCACTCCAGCTTCCTCCACCAATAAAAACTGACTGCCAAGAAATAGCACAATAGTTTTGAAAGTGGTATTAAACACCAATCAATCAATCAATCAATCAATTAGCATGTTATAAGATATAAGTATTCAACTGTACACCATTAGTGTGATAAAGTTTGGTGTACGGAAATAATTATCCTAGTGGTGTCAGAGAGGTTTTGAAAAATTCAATGGAAGAAAGACTGATATCAAATGGTGACTCTAGCCACCTTCAGACCAGGTGAGCTGCTAATCAACAAGAGACTGGTGGATATTAAAAAATAATCACAAAATATTAAGTTTTCAACCTTTCTTTGCTACATATTTGATACACTCTTCTTGAAGTCTCTTGTTTGTGTAAAGTGTCTGTATGTCTGGACGTGTGGTGTAGACATTGGAATACTGCAAAAACAAAAGATAAAGAATTATTTATCTATGTTGGTAAGAGGCTATTTTATATTTTATCATACAGATGATTTTGTAATTTGACCTACTACTAATAGGTAAATCAAAAAATTATAATACAATCATATGTATGATAAAAAAAATAAAATTTAGCAGTGTTTAATTCAATTCTTATTCTCATGATCACTCATCTAGGCTTAGTGTAACAAGACATTAAAAATAACTGAAATATCATTTCAAAACATTATATATATTAATAATCCTGTATTTCATTAATAATAATGGCAGTTTTACAAATCACTGAAAATAGTGAGAATTATCTCCCTTAGGTTGTTGGAAGAGTATGAGAAATCAAAAAATAATTACCTGGAAAATTGGAATAACCTTGATAACTTGGTAATGTCTATAAAGAAAGCAAAAATATTATTAATTTTATGACCAGAGGCAATTTTTTTCCACATGAATGTTTTTAATGTTATAATGGAACAATAAAGATTCTTAAAATGACATAACAAAATACTTATCTACAAAAGCATATTATTGAGTATTTTTTTAATTAAAATTGCTAATTTGGCACTTGTTTCAATAGTTGAAACTATCAATTTCCGTGCCATATACTCTCCTGTGAGTTTTATCATGACCCGTATTAATAGTTGAAACTATCATTTTCTTTGTCATTTACTCTCCTGTGTGTTTTATAAAAAAAAATACTGAACTGAGGGCTATTCTAGATAGAAATATACGAGGACCAGTGGACTCAATAGAATGATAGGCTAATTAGGTGTGTCTAGTGTATGCAACATATTATTGCTTTTGTAAAATGATAGAATTCAACAATTAAGGAGAGAGGTCTTCCAGCAATTTCATCTTATGTTATGACAAGGCATGATAAATGCAGGATATCCAATTACATTTAATGACATCTTGTTTTAAGCAACAATACATGGGTAATGTGGTTCAGAACAGTTTTCACAATATACATGTAAATACACTTTGATTTTTTTTTATAAAACTGTTTGGCTGTTTCCCCATTAAATGTACTCAATACAAAGTATGAACAAAGTTTTGTCACAATTTCCTGTTAGTTTCATGTTAGAACACTTACACAAGATTCTGCAGACAAGACTTCACAAGGTTAATCTCTACATCAGCCTCACCAGCTATCTTTGCCACATGCTTAAATCCATCAATATAAGACAGAATCTGAAAAATAGAAATTTCTAATGCAATTATTTTGTATCAATGGTTCTGATTAGATGACAGTAAGCATAAAATTCTCTATCTCCTTGTCTGTAACTAAGGAAGCCGACATTTTGAATAGCGGAATGTATTGACATGTAATTTCTACAATAATAAGCAAAAAACTCACATGTTGCTGCTAGAAATCTTCTTTTTATCATATTTTATTACATTCTGAAGCGGTCAAGAAGCCAGAAAACGCCCGGTGTTTACATTTGACGCCGGAAGCAAACCTATGACGTCACCTAGTTTAGGGGCCAAAGAAGAAAACATCTTTTCGCGGAATTTTCTTTAATGAAAATTTTACACTAAAATAATGATTGAAATTGAATTATTTACTTTATTTGCATTAGAATAGAGATAACTGTATTGTATTTGAAGCTTAGCGGACGTCCATTGGTAGTTTTACTGTCGCAAATACCCGTTTACCTGTCTCCGCTACACGTCCCCAGGTAAACTAAATTTGCGACAGTAAAACTACCAATGGACGTCCGCAAAGATTCAAATACAATACAGTTATCTCTTAAATTTACTCTGATTCTCACATTTAAATCCTCTTATCTACTGTCAGAATTCAGTGCTTTTGTATTGACATTTATCATAGGATACTTCTCTTAAATTCTCTGTTTTATTAATAAATTCAGAAAATATTCAACAAGAGTGCACATGCTGAAATGTCTCGCCTTCTTTACTAACCATTGATCTTATGTTGATAGTCCTAAATATAAAGCTTTACTAAAAGTAACACATAAACTTAACATGATCCAAGAAAATGAGGTCAAGGTCAGATAAACCAAACGAGAAATACATGTACACCTTACAATCATTCAATAAACAAAACATAGCTGACCTATTGGTTATAGTTTCTAAGAAACAGTCTTAACCAAGAAAACTTAACATTGACCAATGAACCATGAAAATGAGGTCAAGGTCAGATGAACCATGCCAGACAGACATGTACACCTTACAATCAATTTATGCATTAAATATAGTTGACCTATTGCTTATAGTATCTAAGAAACAAACTTAACCATGAAAACTAAACATTGACCAATGAACCATGAAAATGAAGTCAAGGTCAGATGATACCTGCCAGACAGATGTATACACCTTACAATCCTTCCATACAACAAATATAGTTGATCTATCGCTTATAGTTGAAGAAAAACAGACCAAAACACAAAAACTTAACACTGAGAAATGAACCGTGAAAATGAGGTCAAGGTGAAATAAAGCCTGCAAGACTGATATGTACATCATAAAATATTTCCATACACCAAATATAGTTGACCTATTGCATATAGTATTAGACAAAAAGACCAAAACTCACAAACTTAACTTTGACCACTGAACCATGAAAATGAGGTCAAGGTCAGATGACACCTACCAGTTGGACATGTACACCTTACAATCATTCCATATACCAAATATAGTAGACCTACTGCTTATAGTATTTGATATATGGACTTGACCACGAAAATTAACCTTGTTCACTGATCCATGAAATCAGGTCAAGGTCAAATGAAAATTGTCTGACAGGCATGAGGACCTTGCAAGGTACACACATACTAAATATAGTTATCCTATTACTCATAATAAGAAAAAAATTAACATTACAAAAAATGTTGACTTTTTTTTCAAGTAGTCACTGAACCATAAAAATGAGGTCAAGGGCAATGGACATATGACAGACGGAAACTTCGTAACATAAGGCATCTATATACAAAGTATGAAGCATCCAGGTCTTCTAGCTTCTAAAATATAAAGCTTTTAAGAAGTTAGCTAACGCCGCCGACGGATCACTATCCCTATGTCGAGCTTTCTGCAACTTTTTTCTGCGACAAAAGGCTCGACAAAAACTACAATTTCAACTTACCCAGGCAAATTTAATTAAACTTAGCTTTGGCTATTCTTTTCAAATTCATTTTAGTCCTATAGCTCCACAAGTGTTAAAGTATTTCTCATCTTAGGCATTCACATGTTTTGGTTAGAGAATTCCTGATGAAGGTAAATCCAGAAAAACTTTTCGGAAACAACAAATTTATATTATTTCCATTTTTTATCACAATATAAAGTTAAGACTATGAAATTTGTTATTGTACCTTATGAAAAGGTATCTTAAATGTAGAGTCAAGAAAGTGGATACTTCAAATCTTGGAGCAACATTTAATAAGCTTTTGAAATACACCACCAACATTGTAGTTCATTAAAAATAAAAAAATAACATTTACAACACTAACATTAAAGTGATTATGTGATACAGCTTATTCCTATGGACTATCTAATGGATATGTTACATTTAACATAATGTCTACTTTAAAAAGTACTCTTGTATGATTTGGGCCAACAGATTTTACTTTAAAAAGTACATATAAAATTGAGAATGGAAATGGGGAATGTGTCAAAGAGACAACAACCAGACCATAGAACAGACAACAGCAGAAGGTCACCAACAGGTCTTCAATGCAGGGAGAAATTCCCGCACCCGGAGGCGTCCTTCAGCTGGCCCCTAAACAAATATACATACTAGTTCAGTGATAATGAACGCCATACTAAACTCCAAATTGTACACAAGAAACTAAAATTAAAAATAATACAAAACTAACATAGGCTAGAGGCTCCTGACTTGGGACAGGCGCAAAAATGCGGCGGGGTTAAACATGTTTATGAGATCTCAACCCTCCCCCTATACCTCTAGCCAATGTAGAAAAGTAAACGCATAACAATACGCACATTAAAATTCAGTTCAAGAGAAGTCTGAGTCTGATGTCAGAAGATGTAACCAAAGAAAATAAACAAAATGACAATAATACATAAATAACAACAGACTACTAGCAATTAACTGACATGCCAGCTCCAGACTTCAATTAAACTGATTGAAAGATTATGTCTTCATCATATGAATATCAGGCACAATCCTTCATATGCATTTATGTCTTTATCTCTTAATGATGCTTATGTGACACAAGAGCTGGAATAGGCATATTTTGTATCAGATGCCATTCAGAAAGAAGTGTCTACCAGTCATACATCAATTGTCCCCGCTTCCTGTTTAATGGCTCTCAGAGGCAACATAAAACTCTACTATATAGCCTTTAAATCACATTATGAATATGTAACCTATATTTTGTAAATAAGTGTTTTGTTAATGTCTATTTCTTTTCAACTAGACATGCATTGTTAGTGTGATTTTGTAAAGTGTCCATTTATTTCTGAAAATACCTGTTGTGTTGTTAAATCCCAGTGACCTAATTTCAAATTCTGTTTATCTTTTAAGAAGACTGGTACATCTTGGTCTTGAACAGGTGGAGGATCATATATTTTGGGAGCAACCTTTAAGTGGACAGTACAACTTTCACCTGAAATAAGAAATATATCCTTTTACATGCCGAGGTACTTATAAATATAAGATCCATATTGAACATATATCAGTGAAACACCTTAAATACTAGAACAAAACAGGACAGTTAACCAAATACATCATTTTTCTCTAAGAAGAGTTTGAAGTTTGAATAGTTTGTTGTTTTGTCCCTATATTTTGGGTAATTTTTGGTAACCCTTCGATTGGATTTCTTTACCAAAACACTAATATGTAAAAAAAATTCCACTGAGAGGTCAATTGCAGCATGAAACAGAACTGTGAATGATGTTGCAATACAAAAATCATACTGTACAATTTATCTAAAACATTTAACAGCTGTCTCTTTTGTAATCCTTTAACATCTTTTTATTTTCATAGAATTACTCATAAATAGACAAAATGAGATGTATTTTCAAGTAAAAGAGACTAAAACCCATTGACAGAAATAATCAAAAGACATATAGACGTATAATTGTTAAACACATATGTACATTCACTAGCTGTCCTACAATCTGTCGATACCTAAATTTTGGCATTGCACAATGTCACCTTTTTTCTTCTTTTTTTTTAATGTGTACTGATTGATATTTTAGTCTTAAAAACATGGTTTTCTTATTATTTGTTATTGGCTTTGAATTAGCTTTCAGTAACTGGAGTACTCTCTGTACTGTATGTCTTTTCTGTTTTTGTCAGTTGTTTTTGTGTTTTGCATCGATCTGATTGTTAAAGTTTGTTCTTAAGTTGTGCTGTTACGACACTGTCTTAGGGTAGGGGATTGTTTGCCCTAACACAAACATGTTTAATCCAGCCATTTTCTGTCGTTTTTTTTGCTGTTTATCATTTTTTTTTTCGTTTATTGTTATTGTTACTAAAATCAAGCCTCTAGCTTTTTTGTTTGAATTGTTTAACATTTGTCATTTCAGGGCCTTTTATAGCTGGCTTTGCGGTATGGGTTTTGGTTATTGTAGAAGTCTGTACGAAGACTTATTGTTGCTAGCCTTCTACGTCATTTGGTCTCTTGTGTATAGTTGTCTCATTGGCAATCATACCACATCTTCTTATTGTTACATAGAGGTCAACATAAGGCCATGAGGTGTAAACTGTTGCCAATACAATATGTTCTGCATTATGACTGATGTCTATACAACAAGGTCTGTTTATAAAAAATAATGGCTAAAAAGCACTCAAAATATTTTCCTATTTCCTGTCAACACAGTCAAATATATCTGCATTCAGAATTCCATATGGGCACAAATAAACCTAGGTTTACAAACTAGAGGCTCTCAAGAGCCTGTGTCGCTCACCTGATTCTACTTTGGTTTTGGAAATCATGTAAAAATAGATTAAAATCATAACAGATACCCTAATAATGAGTGAGGCCAAATTTGGTTTAATATTGGTCCTGTAATTTAATAAAAAATCCTGGTGGCCATCTTGAACAGTAAATCGGCAACAAAGTAGCAACACTTAATCAGCACCTCATAAGAAACATTTATGCCATGTTTTGGTTTCATTCCATTCAGTGCACCTCTAGAAGAAGCATTTGTATGTATTTCCCATAGGTTCTTATGTTAAAGGAAGTCCCCCCCCATTGGCGGCCATCATGGATGAAGGATCAGCTTCAAAGTAACAAAACTTAATCAGCACCTCATAAGGAACATTCATGCCATGTTTGGTTTCAATCCATTCAGTATGTGGTTCTCTAAAAGAAGACATTTGTATGTATTGTCCATAGGATCCTTTGTTAAACATTGTCCCGATCTGGCAGCCATCATGGATAAAGGATCAGCTTCAAAGTAACAACACTTGGTCAGCACCTCAAAAGGAACATGCATGCCATGTTTGGTTTCATTCCATTCAATGGTTCTCTAAAAGAAAACATTTGTACGTATTTCTCATAGGGTCCTATGTTAAACTAAGTCCTCCGCTGGTGGCCATCTTAGATTATGGATCAGCTTCATAGTAACAACACTTGGTCAGCACCTCATAAGGAACATTCATGCCATGTTTCGTTTCATTGCATTCAGTGGTTCTCTAAAAGAAGACATTTGTATGTATTTCCCTTAGGGTCCTATGTTAAACTAAGTCCCCCGCTGGCTGCCATCTTGGATGATGGATCAGCTTCAAAGTAACAACACTTGGTCAGCACCTCATAAGGAACATTCTTGCCATGTTTGGTTTCATTCCATTCAGTGGTTCTCTAAAAGAAGATATTTGTATGTATTTCCCATAGGGTCCTATGTTAAACTAAGTCCCCCGCTGGCGGCCATCTTGGATTATGGATCAACTTCATAGTAACAACACTTGGTCAGCACCTCATAAGGAACATTCATGCCATGTTTGCTTTTATTCCATTCAGTGGTTCTCTAAAAGAAGACATTTGTATGCATTTCCCATAGGGTCCTATGTTAAACTAAGTCCCCGCTGGCGGCCATCTTGGATGATGGATCCGCTACAAAGTAACAACACTTGGTCAGCACCTCATAAGGAACATTCATGCCATGTTTGGTTTCATTCCATTCAGTGGTTCTCTAGAAGAAGTTCAAAATGTAAAAAGTTAACGCCGACGACGGACGACGCCGGACGACGGACGCCAAGTGATGAGAAAAGCTCACTTGACCCTTCGGGCCAGGTGAGCTAAAAATACAAGAGATGGTAAGAATGGTTTACCTATTTAAAATTGAGAATATTTGTCCCCTTAGATTCAAAAGTTATAATGTTTAAAATGTCTTACACAAAGATATTGCTAAGGATGTTACTGATATTAATTTTACCAGGAACAGTCAGTTTAATAATGATTTAAGGTAAAATAAAATGTTAAATATATCAATTTCAGCATATTAATGACAAGTTGTCATTGACAACAAGTGTTGTCATTGACAGCAAGTGATATAACAAATAACATATCTGCATTAAATTACCATACTTTATAATCTATTTATAAACAAAATTTACAAATTTTTAAAAAACAAAAGGGAATATACTTTTACAAAATTTAAATACATATATTTATTGGGGATAACATTTTAGTGATTATAGAATAAAAAGAAGCATTATTTAGTTCTAGCAACAAAAAATGTTGAAGTTTCGAGTTATACTGGAAAACTGTGCCGCAGTTCATTCATCATATTGACAACTTCAAAATATTGGCAAGCTGGAAGTAGGTGTCTGCCACATCTGAAAAGTACACCCATGTTACACAACTCATTGCTGTAAAGCTGCTGACAAAACATTGAAGTACAGGTTAACTGAGGTAGTTCAGTAATATTTGAGAAATGTGTGACATAAAACATACCCATCCTTATACTACAGTAACCATATTTATTAAGCTGGTGCATTAATGTTCCCAGGAACTGAAGGATGTTTTCCCTGTTATGCTCCTGTGAAAGGGCTTCATTCTCAGACTAAAAAATAGACACAATATACATGATTTAAAGGGAATTTATTTCATAAAAAGAACTGTTTTTACAAAGAAAAGTAGTAGTGTCTTTTAAATTTATCATATTTCACTGTTCAATTAAATTGCTTAAATACAATGTACAGCCATAACATGAACATGCCATGAACTTATCACTTTTTACTGTATCTCTTCTTTTTCAAACATTATAAGAATAAGAATACCAGTACCTGATATAAATATCCTAATGGAAGAATTTATTATGGATTCCTTTTGGATGGGCTATTACTCCTTCAAACAAAATATCTTTACTGCAGACAAAAATTAATTGTAGAATAAGATAAAACATGTTGAAACAAAATTCAGAAACCACTAGTTTTTAAAAAAATCAACTTTAAAGAGGCATTACCATTTTATACCAATTATACAAATTATACTCCAACCATATGTAACTGATGGTTGCTTCCTTCTAAAAACTCACAAAATAAAGAAAAGAAAAAAAATTTTAGTGAGCAAGCTTACATACCCAATGCCCTCACTTACATAACATATGAATACTTTTACAATATCCACTTACCAAGTCTTCCATTTCAGATTATTGTCTGATGATGAACTCATCAAAATTTTAATAAACCAAAGTTTTACAAATTTAAAGAGGATATATATCTGATGAAATGTGAAAGCACTATCCAGGCACACCAAAAAATTGATATGGAATATTTATACAAATCCCCCTTCTGAAAATCTGGATCTCCATTTCAGAGTTTTTGTATTATCAGACTCTTCCATGCATTTGAGTGGAAACCGCCATATATGATTTGAATTTATATTCAATTTTTTGCTTTTGTGCAATACACTATGCTGTTGCGAATTGACTCCCCCCTCCCCCCCTAAATAAAATTGACCCCATTTTTTTGCTTTTGTGCAATACACTATCATGTTGAATATTAACCCCCCAAAAGAAAATATTTTTGGCCCCTAATTCCTAAACAGTTGGGACCATAACCCCCAAAATCAATCCCAACCTTCCTTTAGTGGTTATAAACCTTGTGTTAAAATTTTATTGATTTCTATTTACTTATACTAAAGTTATTATCTGTAAACCATCCGTCTTTGGACGCCGCTGGTGACGACGTGATACCAATATACGACCAAAAAATTTTTACTGTCGTATAAAAATTCTATGAAAAGAATATGAACCCTGCTTTCAACTAGACCGACAGCCTGATTTTCACAAGGTAGCAGTAAGCAGAAAGACATGTCATCTTCACTGATATAATATTCTGACTAAATTAAATTAAATTAATAAGGCCAACCAGTCTTTGCTCTTACTCCCAATTATTGCATGCTTAGCTAAGTGGCAGCAAATACCATTTTGTTGTAGTCTTTGGTTTGACCTGGCCAGGGATAAAATCCAGAACCTCCCACACTAGAGTGGAGAAAATGACAATGGGACCTACAAGATGGTCATTGAAATTTGAATTTGATCCTACAAAAAAGGTGCTACCAGAGCAACATCAAAGAGATGACCAAAGAATACAATAATTGACAGTCTGATGGGACATAAAATAATACATCACTGATGCTTGTCAGCTTATTTCATTTTTAATTGAACCGAACTAACTGCTCAAAGTGAATTATAATTTTGATATTCCCCATTTATTATAGTTTGAAACAGAAAAAAATCACACTTAAATTTTTTGTCAAAGATTGTAGCTAATGCACCTTTAAAATTTTATATATTTAATTTCCTTGTAAACTTTAAAAGCAATTGTATATGTGCCCTATACTCTACTATTGTCTGTTTATCTCCAAATATAAATGTTAACATGTAATACTTGAGCAAACCTCCAAAAAAAATGACAAGAAAAATTGTCCATGAAAAACACTTCCTATGAAACTTACTATTAGGGAAAAATCTTAGGAAAAATGAAGAACTATCATTAAACATACAGCTGAGGGAAGTTTAGTTCAGTTAATAATATAATAATTACATCACATGTATGTTTCATAAGAATACATACTTTTGATTGGCTGAAAGCAAACACAAGGCATTCCCAAATCAAATTGTATTTCTAAATCTAAATAAAATTCTAAATTCATGACAGCATGTGCTACCCATTACAACATCACTACAATGCATAGGAAAACAAACACAAATTCTGATACGACACATAATTTCATAGTTGTAGCATATAAATGTTTCAGAGCTTCACACTAAAAATGTGTGCACAATCAACGTTTTACATCCCTATAAAATTACAAAATCAAAGAGCTGAAAGCTCTAAGGAAAAATGACGCCATTATCTCACATATTGGGATATTTTTGACGCAAGTCTTGATTTTCACATAATTTACCTACTGAATCTAGAAGTTTCAGTTCGTGGTAGGTAGGGTGACTGACAGTAGAATAGATATGAATTGTTTTCAATGTCTATAGCTTTTTTATTTGTTTGTCAAGATATATATATGTGTGTGAAGTGAAGATAGGAACTACTAGTTGTTCTGCTGTACAAAGAAATAGCTCAAGACTACCTGAACAATCTACAATATTCAAAGTAATATGTGAATTTGTTTCCCTTCTTTGTAGAATAATTTAACAAAATGATTATGAAGAGCCTGTAGTAAGCAAGCTCTTATACACCACATAGTCCTTATTCAAGAGATAAGTTACAGGTGACCTAGTGACATTGTTATTTCTGTTACCTAAACATGATCAATTTCTGTAGATTTAGACAACAGTATTGTTATACTAGTTTGACAATTACAAACATAGTGACACCATTTATACAAATTAATTTTATTGTTGATATATATATATTATATATATCAACTGAAATCTTAAAATGACAACATCAATTATTGCAAAATTATTTTTCTTCAAATGATTTAATGTTTGGTAGTCATTTATTTCAAATAATTAACCAGTACTAAAATAAGGAGAAGATTGCCAATGAGATAACAGTTTGATTACTATCCACCAGAGTCCAAATAATGTGGCTGTTGGCAGTTATAAGTCACTTTACAGACCTCAACAATGTACAAAACAGGTTCATTGTTTTCAGGTACCATAGGAAAAAGAGGAGTTGTGGCTGGGTGGTTTACAAGAAAATATAAGAAATATAATAATAATAATATAAATAAGAAAAAAAGGGAGACAAAAAAGACAGGACTGAGCAACTGGACTATATATAAAGCGCTCCATTACTAATCCTTAGAGGAGCTGCTGCTCTACATGTATACTTAGAAAAGAAAGATGTTGAGGACTTAGCCAGAGCGAGCAGAATTTTGAGACTTAGGAACAACAGAGTAGATGTGGGGACACCACATATATAGGCCCATCTGCCCTATTTGCTGCCACCTATTAATATTAATGCCTAAGGCGGTAATTAAACCCATGTGCATTTAATCTGTTGTTCTCTATGTATATGTACATAAGATATATATATCAAATGCAAAAAATGCAGCTTTAATGTAAATATAGTAATTTTATATCATTATAGCCTCATTTTTTATACAGACCTAGCTAGACTTATTTCTTAGGCAAGGTGTATTACATAACTCTGAAAGCAATACAATCCAGTGTTCTCCCCAGGATTTTTTAATAGTGCTGTGGTAAGCGCGCCATATTAGATTGATTCGATATCACCTTAAGTGTTGTGTTTGCGATTTGATGTTACATTTATTTACAACTACCATGTTGGTTATATTATATTAAATAGACAAAGACCTGCATTTTTTATACATGTGCATTAACAGAAATGCAAATAAGTGACATTTTTATTATTAAACGTTTAAAAATTTAAATGCTTAGATAACTTAAATAATTTGATTTCATTACCACCCGTTCCCAAATGTAGCACAGTGGGTATAATTTTTTCTCACTTTTAGTTGTTTGACTTATAAACTAGTTATATATCCTTCACAGCTTCATAATTTACTGACACATATTTAAAGAAGGTTTTCAATGACAAAATTGGAATTTTATTAATTAACTTTTATTTACATCTATCAAATTTCAATTTTGCAATTAAAATTGGTATATCATTTAATATCAAAGGAAGAAATGGAATAACTCTTTCCATAAGTACTGAAATGTTATTAAAGATATGTTTAAAAAACACTAACATATTTGATCATATTCCAAGATGAATATGATAATCTTTTTTTTAAGAAGTCTTTTTTTTATTATTAAAGGTAGATTATCAATATAGAAATGTTTGCCAATTCAAACATTACAACCACCTTAAAAATTTGTGTTTGGCAATATTATGAATATTTGAAATATTGCCACCAGAAATATTTTACAAGATTTGACAATACTGTTTTTAGCACTTTTGTCCAGCTAAATTGTCTCACTTACGCATTTCGTGTTTACACCAATGACATGTCTTTTAAGTATTATTAAAATGCCATTCCTAATCTAAGTCATCCAATGTTAACATAGATTTTAAAATAATGTCTTAATTAATAGTTATTGAAAAATGGATGGCAAATCTCGATATTTTATATTTATTTTTCGTTTAGTTATCCAATATTCGATTTTGAAAATAGCGATGCAAGGACAAGTAATCGTATAATACGGGCTTGTAATAGACAATGGGAATGCTTTTCTCAAAACAATACAGGATCAAAAGTTTAGTTGTAAACTCGAAAAATTAATGAAATAATCGTAGATGTTTCAAAAAATGGAGGAGACCACGTTGTCCATGTTGTCAAAGAAAGGGTAAAACTTTCCTTAAATACTTTTAATATGATTTATTGAGCACTGTCTACTCCTTTCATAAAGTTTCTGCATCTTTTAATTCTTTTAAAAGTGAAAACATTCAGAAAGAAATAAAGTCTTTTTGACAGAAAAACTTCTGCAAAAGCCGAACTGGTCCCTGCGATATTTGACCTATGTCTGCAGCTATAACTTTGTAAACAAAATACATACACACCGCGTGGATATAACCGTATTACTAATTTTTGATTCTTAAAAACTTCTTAAATCTTATTAAAGAGCATTGTCTTTCGTATGGATATCAAGATGATTCCGAGTATTATTTTTTTTAATGATTTAAAAGTTCAGCCGACAAGAAAGGTTGACGTTCTTTCAAGATCTATTTTGTCTAGCGATTGGTTATCATTGGTATGTAAAAAGTCCAAAACCATAACAAAACGGATCTATTTATATTCTGATTTTTTTACGGATTGTAAAGACATGCACATAAAAGCGAAAGCTCGTATAAATATGAAAAATATACCAAAGGAATAGCTCAAAATACAATTTATACAAATAAACATAAGGACAGGTTAAGAATGAAATTCTGTATAGTACATAAGTATGTTAAATATGGAACCGAGTTTGGAAAGCGGCTTGGAAGTCTGAACAACGGTAAAAGAAAATTGACTGCGTCATTTTCCAAAAAAACATTCAATTCTTCAATAAAAGGTTGGTTTATAAATGGCTGTACAGGTCAAACGTTTCATTGGAATTGCATGTACATCTTGAATTAGGAATTTTATAAGCTTCACTTTATACAACAATTTATAGATACAGGCCTTAGAGCATGTAGAGTAATTTATAAAAAAAATATGGACATATGTCCTAAGTCAGGAGCCTGTTGTTCAGTGGTTGTCATTTGTTGGTGTGGTTCATAAGTGTTTCTCGTTTCTCGTTTTTTATATAGATTTGAATTGTTTAACACTAGTCTTTTTGGGGCCCTTTACAGGTTGCTATTCGGTGTTGAAGGCCGTACTTTGGCCTATAATTGTTTACTTTTTACACATTGTGACTTGGATGGATAGTTGTCTCATTGGCACTCATACCACATCTTCTTATATATATATATGTCGAAATCCGGATATGGTGTATGAAATTGTTTGCACCTCATGTTTGCGATATACCATCTTTTCGCAAGTTTATTGTTTTCTGTTTGGTATTAAAATCTAAAATTAAGATCCATGTAACATCTGGTGATCAATTTATTTGGCAATCGCCAATGGCAGTCAGCAGGGTTTAAGAACATCAGTTGTTCAACTGTTAGTCAAATGCATTTTGTTAAAATATACTTTTCACTTTTTGGTCTTTTGGAAAATGTTGTTTGTGCTGTATTTAGACCCCTCTACCAAGAAATTTGTTTTACATGCACACGTATAAAAATTGCGGTTTTTATCCAATGCAGTCATAGGTTTGAACGTTGTTTTCAATTTAGACTTGTTTATATTTTTTTTCGTTTGGGCTTGTATTATATTTTCCTTCAGGGTTATATGATCCGTTCATCCTATTTCGACTCTTTCAAATTCAAGAGTCTATCCTAAATTGAGGTAATTTATATGGCCTTCCAAATACTGTTTCGATCCCTAATATCACTGAAGAGACATTAATTGTCGAAATCTGGATATGGTGTATGAAATTGTTTGCACCTCATGTTTTGCGATATACCATCTTTTCGCAAGTTTATTGTTTTCTGTTTGGTATTAAAGTTTAAAATTAAGATCCATGTAACATCTGGTGATCAATTTATTTGGCAATCGCCAATGGCAGTCAGCAGGGTTTAAGAACATCAGTTGTTCGACCTGTTAGTCAAATGCGTTTTGTAAAAATATACGTTTCACTTTTTGGTCTTTTGGAAAATGTTGTTTGTGCTGTATTTAGACCCCTCTACCAGGAAATTTGTTTTACATGCACACGTATAAAAATTGCGGTTTTTATCCAATGCAGTCATAGGTTTGAACGTTGTTTTCAATTTAGACTTGTATATATATATATATATATATATATATACATACTTTTGTGTTATGGGGATATGATTAATTTGGTGTGATCTTTCAAAAATAAAACTAAAGTCTAAACCTTGACATCCGACAAACATTATATACATATTGTTTTTTAATTTAGAGTAAAAAATATGTCAGTTTTGTTTTAAACAAAAATATCCCAAATCATGCAACTTGACAACAAATAGCAAATATTTAAATGCTTGTACAGAGGTACGAGTAAAATCAATAAATACTATAACTACTGGTTTATTTGTTTGCATAGGTATGATTTAATATACTTATAAATGTTATCACTGCTAACCTTGAATAAGTAAAGACTAGTACTAATTAACTTCCTGGTTGATAGACATCTTAGGAAAAATGAAGAAATGTTATTAACAAACAGTTGATGACATTCGTGTCAAGAAAAAGGTATGTATGGAGGAAAACAAATACATTATTTTTTTTGACATTGCAAGAACTTGAATTTTCAAAGTAATCATATAAAGTTCTAATATTTGAACAAACAGCTAGCACACGTTTTGGTAAAAAAAGTTACAACAAGGAATAGGAAATAATTGCGTCACCTTTACTATCAATATATGAAAATAAATGAAAATTTTAATGTTCATATATAATCGTAACAGAAGAATGACAATTTTTCAAATGATTATATAATCATTGAGGAATGACTGACACATGACGCAAAGTATTTGTATTATTGAACTATTGACCCCAAAGCAATGAGAATCCCCCCTTTATATAATAAGAAGATGTTGTATGATTGCCAATGAGACAACATATAATCTACCAGAAACTACAGCTGTCCACATAGCTGGACTAATACCCCCTCAGTGTTAGTTTGACAATGATTACTGATAGATCAAAGTCTGAGGTTTGTATACTGTAAATTCAGAAATCAAAGGTCAAGGTTAAGGTCAAGGTCAGTATGATGCTTCTGCATGCAAAATTTTGTCAATCTAAGTGCGACAGTACAAAAGTTATACACCAAACACAAATCAGGCAATGTTTTACTATCATAGGGGTTCAAAAGTCAAATTCAAAGTCAGTGGGACCAGACTTTGATATATGACACACACCCATCCTACGATGTATCACAATACCAATTTTGGTCAACCTAAGTTTTATGGTACAAGAGTAATGCCCAGGAAACAAATCAGACAAAGTTGAACTATCATAGGTATCAAAGGGTCAGAGTGACCTGATTTTGGTAATTGACACAACCCAAGCTCATGATGCAACTGGTTACCAGTTTGGTTAACTTAAGTCTTACGGTACAAAATATATGAGAATGACAGGAATTTGATAAGGTTTTACTATTATTGGGGTAAAAGGTCAAAGTCAAGGTCACAGTGATCTGACTTAAGTATGCAACACACCCTAAGCCAATGATGCAACTGCATATACTAAGTTTAAAGAACAAAACTTATGAGCCGGACACAAATTGGATAAGGTTTGACTATCAAAGTGGTTAAAGGTCAAAGCTGAGGTCAGAGTGACCTGACCTTAGAATGTGACATATCCCCATCCAATGATGCATCTGCATATTTAGTTTGGGTATCCTAAGTTTTACTGTAAAAAAGTTATGAGTCAAACATGAATTGTACAAAGTTTTACTAGAATAAGGGTCAAAGGTAAAAGTAAGGGTCAGTGTGACCTGAGTTTGGTATATCACACACACCCAGCCCATGATGCAACTGTATACCAAGATTGGTTAACCTAAGTCTCACAGTACAAAAGTTATGGGCCGGATACCAAGTGGGACAGACGGACAGTCAGACAGACATGGTGATTCCTATATACCCCCAAACTTTGTTTGCGGGGATCATAATTGAATGAAGTAGATCTACAATGCATCTCAAGCTATAAAAGACCCCACCATGACAAAATGTAAAACTATTCCCTGTATAATTTTGATTCCAATCAAGCAGATGATACTCAAATTATATTTTGGAAACCCTTTGATTCTGACACACCATAGGATGAACTGAATGACAAAGATAGCATAATAGTGAAACTTGTCCTCAATTTCAACAGAGTTGCACTAGCCAGCTGTTACTACACTCTTTTACCTACTTTTTTTATGGGATACACAATTTTTAATCCAGTATGAATAGTTTTTTTGTACAAATTTTAACCATATCATTAGGTCTTTTAGTTATTTACTACCCAACAAGGCTCTTCTAAAAGAAACATTGATGGTCATATTTTTATGATAATTTGAAAATAGATATATCATGGCCTGCTATCTGTTGATCATTATCATATAGTCAGTTTTGCTATAACTGTTTTAGTTATTGATAAAAATGGTGTTAAAAAGCAATAAAGAGCTGTGCCATGAACACATGATACGCCTTTTGCCTTTTCAACGAATAAAGTTCCATTACTCCTCAATGTCATATCAGAAATTTATAAAAAAAACTAAAGGGAGTTTATTTTAATAGATATAAACAAGTCACCAAAGTTTCGTGAAAACTGCTCAAAGCATTTTTGAGTTATTGTCCAAAAACTGGAAAATACCCCTTTCTATGAATAAAATCCCATAACTCGGAAACGTAAATCTAAAATTTATAAAAATGGAAAGGGAGCTTACATCAATAGATATAAACAATTCACCAATATTCCTGTTGGTTAAAGCGTTTTTGAGTTATTGTCCGACATGTTGACGACAGACGGAAACGGTATACCATAATACGTCCCGTAAATGGGCGTATAAAAACTGTTGTTTAACCCTATTGTATCATATTTCTTCAATTTTGTCAGTAGTAGCCATGTTTTTCATAAGACAGAAACAAAATGAAGATCCTTTTTCGGAATGCACCATAAATCCTTACTACAAAAATTGAAAACTTTTTTTTTTTTTGCTGAGCTAGGAGATAATTTTTTTTTCAAATTGCCTGATGAGTTCATGTATAAATTTACAGTAATATCCAAAATTGTGTCATTAATAATAGAAGAGATTTGACATATATTCAAACAAAGTTGGCATATGTACAGGTTTTCATAAATTATTATTTCAGAAATTTTCTTGTTTTCTTACACATGTTACACCAGATATTTTAAACCCAAGTATCAACTTTTCAAACCCCAACAATGGGAGATCATCATCTGGGGACATTTTGCTAAAGGGAAATAATTTAGTAACTTAATTCCTGTTTTTTGTTTATAAAAGTTTATTGCAACATTTAAAAAAAAAAATCACTATTTTAATATTTTTTACAAGGCTTATTTAAACAAGATTGCTAATATGGAGCCAAATGTCTTCTGTACTGTATAAATGAGGAATCAAATTATGTCATTTGGTACAATAGTCAAATATGGTGAAAGTCTCATAACTCAAATAAAAATGGTCAAATTAAAATGACAGTATTATAACGTTCGACTACACATGATTGCAAGCAATGGTCTGATGAGTCGCATGAGGAGAGAGAAATTGGAAGATTTTTCTCCAATGTTGCTGATTTGATCTTCCTGTCAGGATATTAGTCTTAGAGGGTGATTTCAATTTTTTTTTTATATAAAAACGATTGAGAGGTTCCTACTTATATCTGAAAAGTTGACACACAATTCAAATATCTAATGGCATACAATCCATCTCAGTAGTCCATTGCCATTGATATAAAAAAAAAAAAACAAGCAACAACGATTTGTCCATATTTGTCTGCATTCTATGAATTTTCAAAGAATCAAAATAAAATATCTTTTATATATTTTGTAGTGGCTATTACAAATCAAGATGGCATTTTCCCTATCCATAAGGCGAGCCCAAATACCTAAGCCATGTGAGTTGTGTGAAACTGACACAAACATTAAATGGAAATGTGTACAATGCAATACACTAATGTGCGAAAAATGTAAGAAAATTCATTTAAAAGTTCAAACCTCGATCAAGCATGACATTGTTGATGTAAAAAGTTCAGAAGCTAAAAAAAAAATGGAAAACACCATTATTACTGACAATATTCCCTGTCAGATTCACAAGAAAAAGTTGAATTGCATGTTTTGTAGAACATGTGACCACTTAGTATGTCCAGATTGTATAACTGCTTCCCATAAAAAACATGACCTAGATTCAATTGAGACAGTGTGCAATGAAAGAAGAGAAAAACTGAAAGAACTAGAATCCAAATTTTCTGAAAAATTCACACTTTGTGAAATAGAAGACAGTAAAGTTAAGGATTTTAAAATTAAATATACTCAATTTTTTGGTGAATCTGTTCAGAAAATTAATCATCAGGAAAAGTTGATTAAAGATGAAGTCAGTAAATATGCTCAAGAATTCAGAGAACAACTGGATAGGGAAAAGCAAAGAATAGAAAAATCTATCATAGAAAAAGAAAATCATACAGAAGAAGTAAAGAAAAGTGTGCTAAATAACCAAACCAATATACAAGAAGTATTAGAATCAAATCAAGCAGAGAAAGTGTTCAATGCTTATTCAGAAATCAGAAAAAAAGAAATTCCAGATGCATCCTTCAAGACATTTTCTGAGGAAACAAAGGATTTCATTCCCACAAAGGAAAGTTTAAAGAACATTACCAACTTATTTGGATCACTTCAGAAAACTCATCTACCAAAGGGATTGCAACAACAGAACTTAGATGTAATCAACAGTTATACTACTGATCTATACATGGTGCATAGAGTGTTAATAATGGATGAAAAAACAGCTTGGATTTCTAATTATCATACATCTACTCTACGTAAAACAAACATTAATGACACAATCAAAAATGTAAAGGATCTTTCAATTAAGGTTTACGCCATGTCACTGGCAGACAATAATGATGTTCTCCTGTCTTTGTATGGCAGTTCTGATGTCAGTCTGTTAACAACAAAGACAGGAGAAATCAATCCTTTCCTGTCTGTGTCACCACTGATACCACATGGTTTACATGTCACTAAACATAATGAGATCATACTAGGTGTTAGGGAGAGGGTTGATGATTACAACCTCACAGACAAAAGTTGTAGGAAAGTTATAATCTTTGGGATGGATGGGAAACAAAAACAATCATATGAGTATGATAAACATAAACAGAGATTATTTACTCTCCCGTATAGAATTACATCTAATGTTAATAATGACATACTGGTTATAGATATAATATCTAATGAAGATTGGAGGGTGGTGGTTCTGGACCGGGAGGGACAGGTTAAGTGGACCTATCAGAGACAGCCTGAGGTTAATTTAGGGGATACACCATTTTGTCCTACAGATATAGTAACAACATCAGTAGGACATGTTATAGTGACTGATGTTAACAACCATGCTTTACATGTCCTGTCAGGAGAGGGAGATATACTGACATGTAAAGTTATGAAGGATCAAGGAATTATATTTCCAATGTCCTTGGATATTGATACCAAGGGACAGTTATGGGTGGGATGTTATTCTGGGGAGGAAGAAAACACAGATGCCAAGCTACATGTAGTAAAGATGTCTTTTTAATCCAATATAAATTTTAAACAAACATCAATAAATATTTTAATTTCTCATTTGGCAATTAAACAGCACTTAAATATAAAGGAACTTAAAAATATTCATGTGCATATATTAGAATCATTATTTTACTAAACGCTAAGGAAATGAATGAATAGAAGGAGAAGTGGCGTAGTAACTGATTTGATCAATCATCCTGTATGGGGACATGTAAAGTTAGAAAGGATTTAACTGTTAGAGTGCAGGGTATCATAGTGACAACTAACAGCTCATTTTAATCAGATTTTTATATGTTTGTATTGTTTTTGCATGCCTCAGTGTGATTGTTGAGCTAAATTATGACAGCAGATGTTTGTCTTTTATAAATGACTATTCTGTACAGATGGGTTTTACTCATTCTTGAAGGCCTTACGGTGGGTGACCTTTAATTGCTTGTATCCACATCGTTTGAACACTGGTGAATAATTGTCTCATTGGCAATCATACTTCATCTCCTTATTTTTATGTAGACCGATATGTACTCCAAAAAAAATCCGTACACCAGTACAAGATATAACTGACATATTATGTATATATAGTTGCAGAAGAATAAAAAAAACTTGACCTGATTAATGCAGCATGAATGTTGTTTAATTGAGTCAACACTGCTTTGAAAGCATATGCAAACACAAAAATACATTTAAAACATCTCAATATAAAATAGGTAATACAAAATGGACAGGTTTAAAAAAAATAAAATACTTTTTGAGAGTTTTTTGGGTATGCAACAGCTAACAAAGCAGTCGACAATTTTATTGACGTTTAGTGTAAGAACTACATAGGACTACTCTGAATGAGAATATAGAATCCTGAACTTCCATTTTTGCTAAAATATAATCTAAAACATGCTTTTACTGATGAAAAGATTGCAAATTACAACATCTCAACAATGAATCAATTTCGAACCAAATGTTGATATAGAAAAAGACAAAAAAACAAAAAACAAAAAAGTTTTGTCTATGTAATTGATCATGACACAATAACATGTTGAATGTGTATGAATTGAAACTCAACCTAAAAGTGTCAAACAAACATGTTAGAATAATGCCGCACTGTTACCTAATAACTAGTTAGAGATTGCTCTGACGCCTGATGGACTTTTTTAGGACTTGTTGGGTCCCAGGGACATCAGAGCGCAGTCCATATAAAAAACATAGAAAATGACAACCCAGACTTGAGATGACCAGTTTTTATCTTGATATTCATGATATTATAAAAGATTCATTTCAAGTAGACAAATCATAATTCATTCTATCCCATTTTACTAAAATTTTCTCCTACCTCTATCTGCTTTAAATATGAAGCTAATTTCTTCACAACTGGTTCATATTTTGTTGTTTCTGTTTTGCTGTCCATGACAAAGAACAGGTTAAATATATATGCATTCCTGGCATATTTCGGGTTTTCTATAATGACAGGGCAACCAATTACTTTCTTCCCTAATGTATTTCTGAAATGAAAAAAAATAGCCTCATTTTCCTTATGGTGTGTCCTCATCCTGAACATGCATGAAGTATTTGCCACTGGACATTAAGCAACCAACAATCAATCAATCTTTATGGTGTGAATTGGCTATCAAGATATTAGTTCATAGGATGCTGAAAATTGAGATAATGGTGCATATTATCTAAAAAATATTTCTAGAGGATATTGTACATAAATTAAGCTGTTAGTTTTCTCGTTTGAATTGTTTTACATTTGTCATTTCGAGGCCTTTTATACTAGCTTACTATGCGGTATGGGTTTTTCTCATTGTTGAAGGCCGTGTGGTGACCTATAGTCGTTAACTTCTACGTCAGTTGGTCTCTAGTGGAGAGTTGTCTCATTGATAATCATACCACATCTTCTTATTTTTATATTACATTTAACAAGCTAAGAAATGCCGATTTATGCAATGTAAGTTGATAAATGTACTAGCTGTTAAAATCTGAAGTTTCAAACAGTCTGTTATAAATAGAGAAGTTTATATCTGTCTTTTTTCTCTTTCTTTTTCTGAATATCCAATTATAAAGATAAACGTTTGGGAGGGTCTGAAAGTGACCGTTAGAGGCAGGTGAACGCTGAAACGAGGTGACCGTTAAGGCAGGTTTGACTGTAGCTCTTTTGAATTGATCCATAGCTTGACTGAGACATTGTATTTTGACAAACCTTTTTGATATATCATAAACTCAAAATGTCATTTTTGGTTTGTGTTGTTGGGTGAGGTTAAGTTTAACTGTATTTTCCTTTATTTATATAGATGTTACTTTCTTTTGATTTGGTATTTAATGGATAAGTCTCCTTAGCAGTAAAATTTCATTTTTTACTTATTTATATTTTTATAATGACTTCTTCATTTTCAAACTCATAGCAATATAGGTTATATATGTAACAAATGACCATGCATGATTCTTTATGTGCCTGACCCAAATCAGGGCCTGTAATTCAGATGTTGTGGTTGGTTGCTGTCTCCAATATTTGTTTTTTTTAATGTGACTTGATTGTAAGTGTTGCATTTCAGCCAAAATTCTGACGAAATTGCAATATGTTTCATCAAATCAAATTGTTCAACTGGTCAAAAATTTTAACCAACTGCTGAAGAAAAACAACAATCAGGTCCTCAAAGTGCAAAGTGGTAAAATAATGCATGTTACAATCCTATAAGATTTTTATTTTTACTTCATGGCTACAATGATAGAGTGGCTTAGAAATTTGAAAATATATGTATTGTAACAGTTCATTTAAAATATCTATGAGATTAATTTTTAATCCATTAATTTTCATTGCACCAAATCAGCATTTAGTTAGTTCTTTGAAACTTCTTTCAAATGGAAGAACACTTATCCAATAATAAATATATTTTTAAAAGACTTTTTAGAATGGACTTGTCAAAACAGAACCTGTTTTCTTACAAGGTAATGAGCCTCTCTTTCAGATCTGGTTTTGTTATTATGTAAGGATGGATTGCATCAAAGTCTTCCTTGGAAAATACTTCTTCTGGAATCTAAAATAAAAATAAATTATCTTCAATTGGACTTATTTATTTTATTATGACCTCCATTAGTATTATCTGGTTTCAAAGATATATATATATCAGTAGAACAGCATAAATCTTAAATGCTGTCTGTCAGTATAGCATTAAAACTTTAGAACTATGATTTTTGTTTCTTGTATGCAAGTTCCTTGTGTTACAATTACAAAATGGCAGACTTAATTATGTTTTTATTAAGAAAGAGTTATCTAACTTTTGAATAATTATGTTTGCCATATATTGGTAACACATGGAACTTGTATGCAAGAAACAAAAATGGTAGTTCTGAAGTTAAACGGGATTGATTAAATTGAGTAATAAACAGCTGTGCCAAGAGAACATTGTGCATAATGAAATTGCTGCAAGAATTAACTGGGATATTATGAAGGCATTTAATCAGAAGCAAATAAAATGGCTTTGTAGAAAAATATGCCTGAGGATACCCTCAGGCGTATAAATATTTGTTTCAAATATGACTGTTAAAAGTCCCATAACTCTGGAATCACAAACCAGAAAACAAATTTAAAATCAAAAGCAAATCTACATTCACCAATATTAACAACAGTGTTAAGTTTGTAGTAACATGATCCAAGCATACTAGAGCTAGTGCATAATATTTAAAAAATCCCTTTTATTCATCTGATGGTCAAAGTCCCATAACTGTGGAATGCTTATCTGAACTTTTTTTTTCTTTAAATTGCAATTTCATACTAGTATTTCCATTAAAAATGTTCCCTGTTTCATGTTTACGTTTTCATATTTAGAAACAGCAGAAATTCCCAAATAAAGATTCTTCAATAAAGTTTATGAATTATCCTTGTAGGACATGAGAATAGATAGACTTGAAACTTAGAAATTTGTCTCCCAACATTAACCTGAAGAGGTTGGTTTTTTTTGGCCATTTTGTAAGTTGAAACATTGGTATAATATAAAAATAAGAATATGTGGTATGATTGCCAATGAGACCACTCTTCATAAGAGACCAAATGACACAGAAATTAACAACTATAGGTCACCGTACAGCCTTCAACAATGAGTAAAACCCATATAGCATAGTCAGCTATAAAAGGCCCCGAAATGACAAATGTAAAACAATTCAACTAGAAAACTAACGGCCTGATTTATGTACAAAATAATGAACGAAAAACAAATATGATATACAGCAACAAACGACAACCACTGAATTACAGACTTGACTTTTTTCTCTTCTTATGACTGCTTACTGATTTTTAAAACAATTATGAAACACTAGAGATAAATAGTTGTAAGGTGGTATACAGGAATTTTAACTTCCCCAACTTAATACATGCATAAAGTCATGAAAGTGTTTATTCTATTGTCAAAAGATCGAGAATTTTTCATATTTTAGGCACATTCTTTTAACATTTCAATTATAGAATATGTAGAATAATTAGTTTCAGCTGGAAAATTGTTCAATGACATAAAATGCTATGCCTTTAAGATTTGGCAAAATACAATTTGCCCTGCCATTAAAATCCTCCATTTTTTTTTTAATCCTATCTGTGTCCATAGCAATTTTGCGATTTTGCTGTCCTGAAAATCACTCCAGACACAGAATCCCAGCAGGGATTACATTTTCTTAATAGTAGAGGATACTAAATAAATGGGGAATATGTCCATGGGACACAGATGATTCCCCCGTTTGCATATAATGTATAAAGGGACATCACTCTAGAACTGTACAAGTTGACGCTACCAAAATTCAAACTTGACCTGTGTTTTGTGGTAATAAGCATTGTGTGTAAGTTTCATAACATTTGGTTGAGGCAAACTAAAGTTAGAGAGCGGAAACGAAAAATATGTACTTGATCTGAGTTTTGTGGTAATACAATGTAAGCATTGTTTATAAGTTTCATAACATTTGGTTGAGGCAAACTAAAGTTAGAGAACAGAAACAAATATTTCAGCAATTTTTCAATTGTAAAGGGGCATATCTCTAGAACGGTAAAAGTGACACCACCAAAATTCAAACTTGATCTGTGTTTTGTGGCAATTAGCATTGTGTATAAGTTTCATAACATTTGGTTGAGGCAAACTAAAGTTAGAGAATGGAAAAAAAAAATTCAGCAATTTTTCCATTTGTAAAGGGGAATTACTCTAGAACGGTAAATGTGACACCACCAAAATTCAAACTTGACCTGTGTTTTGTGGTAATAAGCATTGTGTGTAAGTTTCATAACATTTGGTTGAGGCAAACTAAAGTTAGAGAACGGAAACCAATTTTGGGTTAATAGCTGTTGTTGGATATTTTTTGTAAATTTCTCGTATTTACTTTTATATTGGTTGTACGGCTTCTTTTTTTTTTTTGGTGGTAAACTGGTGTTTAAATGATTGCCGTCTGTAAAGAAGGTTTTATGGTGTTAAGTCTCTATTGCACATAGTTGGTGTACAAACAGACAGGTTTGACAATGAATGGCTTGTTAAAATTTTCATTAAGTTGTAATTCATCATTGATGGCCATTATTTGGATGAAGGGTAAGTATATTCCAATCAAACCGATACAGATAGAAAATGTTTAAAACATAGATCTTGTCAAAAAATCATAAATTTTAAAAAATAACATCTTTTTTGTGCTAGAATTTTAATTTCAACGAAAATTGATATGCAAGTACTATATGCTATTTCAAATTCATTTACGGTCAATTTATTGTAAAAATTTAATTTTCGTTCCAAAAAAAATCAGAAATTTTCAAAAGCATCTTAATCATGGTTAAGTGCTAGAATTTCGACAAAAAATTGATAAACAGGTATTATATGCAATACAATTGTATTCCTGCATTAAAAATAATCGCAATTTTCGAAACGTCAGTTAAAAAACATTAAAAATTTCATAGTGCTTGGATTTTAACAAAAAGTAAGCAAAAGGAACGTACTGACATGTCATTCTCCTGGTCAAATATAATGTCCTCCGCCGCACTTAGTTGATTGGTGATTAAAAGGTGTTAACAGTATACATGCCAGTTATTGGTTTAAAGTTGATTAAAAAGGTGCCAACAGTACACATGCCAGTATTCAGCTGTAATCATAGGTCAAGTTCATTCAAATAAGTCATGCATATGATACATTATACATGAAATATCTATAAAATAGGCAAATTAAAAATAAAATAAAAGATTGGAACAAAAAAGAAAAATAAGTGGAATCTTTTGAATATTAACTGAAATGTCTTAATTTTTTTTTTTAAATCTTGTTAGAACTGCATTTATACTTCTTTCTTGTAATCTGAAGAAAGATAAATAATTCATTCTTATTGACAATCAATTTAAAAAAAAGTAAATTACAACTGACAATGACTGAGATTACTATACATTGTTAATCTTACTTAAATTCTTCTTAAAGTCTGATTGTGTTATAGACCGAATTTGTTGAATTTTTTATTGACTAGTTTGTGAGGCAGTATTTATTATAGGTCGAGTTTGTTATAGACCGAGTTTGTTTTGGGCTGAGTTATCAAGGATGTCATTATTTGGACTAGAAAAAGACATGAATGTTCTTGAATTTTACTTGCAATTCTGCAGATAGATATTAAATTCAAATGTATTTTTTTCTAAAATTTCATTGGATTTCCATCAAATATGAATTCTGTTGAAGAAAAATAAAAAAAGGTCTTATTGTTAAATTTGAAACGGTTTATTTGGGCTGAGAGAATTATTTGGGGTAAAGACACACCGGCCATCCGCTATAGCCTCCCCTGGATAAACATCCATACGTCTCGCAATTCCACAATGCAAAGAACTTTTCAATATATGCATTTACTTGATATTTTATCTTAGGACCAGCGGTCGGGTGGAATTCTGCAAGACACATCCCCTTAATCATTGTTTCAAATTATGTCTGTAAAATAAGTTGTCTGCAAGAAGGGAGGTAATCGTATAATATCAGCTGATAATTTAGGTATTGCTAAATTATGCTCACCATTAACCGGGAATGAAACCAGACTTGTCAGAAAAAAAAACATATTCATTTTCTTATTTAGATAACTACAATGTGATTTTCCTTTGGAGTTCAATATATGTTTTTGTTATTAATGTTTGTTAAAATGAAGTTTTCATAAGGAATAATACCCACTCAACTCATTGAGCAGCCCTCCGTTTGCTTCGAGTTCTGGTGATGAAATATTCAAACATCGCCAATTTCTATTTGCTGAGTATTTGCATGGTTTTATTTTCAAAGTTGAAACAATATATGCACCTCTAAATGACAATGATGGTCGCTAGAGAACAAAGCTTTACGACAGAAGAAATGATATCAGTTTTCCAATTGTGAACTTTTCATTTCTATGATATATCAAAATTCCAGCAGCGCCTGCATATGGAGTATATGTCTCCCATTTGATACAATATTTCAGTGTTTGAGTTTCCTATCATGATTTCCTTGGGTGAGGATTGTTTCTTACAATGAAGCTCCTACCTGTAAATCAAAGGTTCCGAGTTGTAAAGTATATCTTCATGCAACATACAGTAAAACAGTCCATCTGAAAAGTGTCCAAGACGAGCTGCACTTACCGACAATGAATCTCTGTTGGAAGGAAATTAAATGACCATTGTTCTACATAAAGTTGGTTTTTATTATGTACATTCATCAGGTACGCAATGAATGAATGTTTTGAAAGAAGTTTCATTAAAAAAATTTTGCTAATTAATATTTAGCAAACAATCAATCAATTAATCCATCACTAGTCATTAAAAAGTAAATAATAATTGCAATCTTCCAATTCAAAAGAGAAGCGAAAGATACCAAAGGAATATTCAATTTCTAAACTCATAAGTCGAAAACAAACTGACAATGCCATGACAAAAAAAAAAACGAAAAACGACGAAAAGACAAACAACAGTACACAAAACACAACATAGAAAATTAACACGAACCACACAAAAAAAACCAGGGATGATCTCAGGTGCTTCTTACGGGTAAGTAGATCCTGCTCCACAAGTGACACCCGTCGTGTTGCTCAACATCTATGTATGTTTTAAGTCGAGGCAAATCTGGTGACAATTATTAAGTAATATATGCATAAGGAGGGTGTCTCATCTAATTAAAAGCCTTTAAAAACCGAACGTGTCACTAAAATGTTATCAAGCGCCTATTAAGTTTGATATACCTGGTTAATATATCGCCAATGTTGAGAAATATATATTTAAAGGAAGACAGACAGAGTATCAGAACGACAGGATAGCTCATAGCTACGAAAACTATTTGCTCGGAAATAACCAAACTAATTGCATGTAATCGCTACGTATAACACTAAATGGTGATTACGTTTAGAGCTTTAACAAAAGATATTATTTAAAACTTCATACATCCTAATTCCACACGGTTTCGTCAAATTTCGAGATTTGAGCCCGTGGTCGAAACAAATCCAGGGGAACACAGCCATACTAGTACTCCTTTGTATAATAAAACTTGTTATCCATCGCTAACATCGACTCACTCAAATGCTATTTTTTTTATAATATGAATAGACAAACATGACACAACTATGATCAGAGATCAAAGTTAAATTTTCAATAGTTAAAAGGATAGAGAAAATTTTATCAGTTTAAATACGCTCGGTCTATGCCATTAGTATTGTTTTATAAACTTTACCCGAACACACAAGAATGATAATCAAATGGAACTCGTCCTCAATACAGTGTTCATATACTTTGCATAAACGATCTACTACAGGTACACTTAGAAAACGACCAGTCTCAATATCAAATGAATGTGAAGAAAGTCTTATTTTTGTAATAGCCTTCCGGTATAAAGGAGGAATATATTTAGACAAGTAATATTGTAAATTTAGGTTTGTGATGATATTTCAGTAAACAATACTACAATATACAAGGTGATAGGACGTGCCGCTGGAATAGGTCACCTTTTCAAACTTGAAAACATATGAATAGGTCGGGAAAACTATCAGAAATATATGTTAAGGTCAATAAAGATCCTATAACTTCTTCGTCTGTCATCTTTCTTGGTGTTCCCGGCTGTGATTTTATCAACCAATTTTCTCTCTTTTGGCACTTTGGTATTCCACTTTAACATTACACGCCACATAAAACCCAAACAATATGGGAAAAGGTAACATTTTTACCTACGCAATATATGAAAAGGTATACATTTTTAAAATCTAAATTATATGAAAAGGGTGGGGTAACAGAACCCCAGCGGCACCCCCTATCAATTAAGTATTGAAGGCCCCCCAGGGCAGTTTACGTTTCACTATCAAGGAAATTCGTCCCAGCTCAAAATACACCAGAGCAGTATTGGTTGATTGCTTCACTCCGAGTAATCTTTATAAAAACATAAATAGACTTTTTCGATTTCAGTCTGCTTTGGAAAATACCCAGACTTCACATGCATAAGTTAAAACACTACCAACGTAAATATCAAAAAGCGACTACAGAGTATGTATGTTCAGATGACAGTTTCTGCAATTAGAAAGCAGTGCAAACATCATTTTTTTCCTTTGTTCAGCAAGTTTCTTTTGTGCATTTGTAAATTTCCCATTGAAGTTTAAAATAAATCCTATATAACAAAACTTGTCTACTATTTCTATCCTTTTGCCGTTGTAAAACCGTTTTCGTCTTCTCTAATAATACCCCCGTTACAAAATATACCTTTTTTTGTCTTATCAATATTTACAGTTAAATCGAAATTTGTTGAGTATGAATCTAAAGAATCAAACATGAATTGTAGATCTTCCAGTGACTCCGCAAATAACACCATATATCGTCTGCATACATCAATAAGAAGATACTGAGATCTTGCATATCCGTTTTTGAAAAAAAAATAATTTCGCAATCATTAACGTATAATCAGAATAATATCGGCGATACAACATCTCCCTGTGGGAGACCGACCTTATTTTAAAAAAAAATCGGAATACGATCCATTGAATCTTACACAAGCCTTTGTCGATTCATACATTGGACGCAAAGTGTTTAACAATTTTTCACAATTGAATCTCAAAGGAGTAGGGAAACTGATAACTCCCTATAGCTCTTCATAAGTTTCGGGGCTTATACATTCTCGACTTTTTAATTTTTGGATTAGAGCATTCCTGGTGAAATAAAATCCAGAAAATAGCTTCAGACGCATACAATTTATCAAGGGTAATTTTCATATTTTAACACCACATATGAAATACTGAAATGATGTAAGAAAAAGTTTAAAGTTTAATTCGTACTTAAAAAGCAATTATGATTCATATATTTATGTACTTTCATTGCTTTTAACAAGTTCCTAAACTTCTATCAAAGAACTTAACATTAACTTTTGTAATAAAACATATTAAAAAATAGTGGAATTAACTATTTTTGGAGTGTAAATATTTTTTAAGACGTTTTAGGTAAATTTTGGCCATTTTGATTCGGTTGACAGTCAAGTTTGACCTATCAACTCTTTACACTACACTTCCACACAACCTTTATAATTTAATGGTCGTTTGAAAAATCTGATTGCAAATTTATTTGCTGCAACTCATTTAAAGCCTTCATCTCTAACGAGAAAGATAAATATGCTAGTAAGATATACTTACTGGATGTTTGATGAGATGATTGAAGCTGTAAAATTTCACCTGGACAACATTTATGTACTTTTCGGCAATAAAGTTTAGGTTGTAGGTATTCCTATGCGCTTGCTTTTGTATTGTTATGAATCACAATTTATGACCAAACTCAGTAAAGACCCGTCTTAATTGCATTTAATTGATAAATTCAACAACACTTACCCTTATCTTTATGATATTTTTTCGTTAAGAATTTTCTAAATCTACTGCCGAAATTTACGCAAAGAAACTTTCTTTAAATAAATTGAATATAAACGATAATAATAACTTTCATTTCCTAGATTTACACGTGAAACTTTACACTGAAATTTACTACTAAAGGGACGCTCTTTCGTTCCCTAATGTTAATTTTCCTTTTTTAAACTAGCTTTCAGTACTAGTTCTGTACTTTGTGTCTTTTGTGTTTTTGTTAATGTGTTTATGTGCTATGAATCGGTCTGATGAGTTTACCCTTTTCAAACTGATTTTTATAGATTGTTCTTAAGTCGTACTGTCACACTACTGCCTCAGATTAGGAGAAGGGTTTGTCGCCAGCAAACATGTTTAAACCCGCCACATTCTGTATTTGCCTGTCTCAAGCCAGGAGCCTGTAATTCAGTGGTTGTCGTTTGTTTCTGAATATCTTTTTTTTCGTTTATTTTTTGTACATAAATCAAGCCGTTAATTTTCTCTTTTGAATCATTTAACATTTGTCATTTCGGAGCCTTTAATAGCTTACTATGCAGAATGGGTTTTGCTCATTGTTAAAGGCCGTACGGTGACCTATAATTGTTAACTTCTATGTCATTTGGTCTCTGGAAGAGAGTTGTCTATTTTGGCAATCATACCACACCTTTTAATTTTTATATTTCGCAAGAACCTGATACATTATTTCTAGTTCATTGATATACCAATGAAAAGCGGAAGTTTCCATTCTATTTAAGAGCCATTACTTATGTCTCTTTCAAAGATACGTACAGATGTAAGAATACGCGTACATGGCATATAATTTTGGTACGATAGACGCGCCTACATAATACTTATTAGCGGCGCTCAAATCAAAATATTTAGAAAGCAAAATCAAATACGAAGCTGAAGAGCCTTTAAACCCGAACATTAAAAAAAATGTACCAATAGAAACAAGTAGATGTGACATGAGTGCCAATGAGACAACTCTTCATCCAAGTCACAATGTGTAAACAGTAAACAATTATAGGTCAAAGTACGGCCTTCAACACGGAGCCTTGGCTCACACCGAACAGCAAGCTATAAAAGGCATCAAAATGACTAGCGTAAAACAATTCAAACAGGAAAACCAACGGTCCAATCTATGTAAAAAGCA